TCTAAGTCTCTCTTCATGTTCCAAACTGCTATTCTATGGAACTGTTTACCCCCCAGTCTAACATCGGAAGCCTCGCTCTATAAGTTCAAACCTGCCCTCAGGAAATTCACAGCTGACTATGCTTATGCAATCAACGGAATTCCGCCACCTTGCAGTTGATTTTCCCCATTTCTCTCCTCATCAATCCCTACTTGTCTTTGTACATACATCTACATCTACTGTTCTTTCAATCAAATGAACCCCTCGATAGGCACATTGCCTTTGGGTCATTTCATAATAATAATAATAATAATAATAATAATAATAATAATTTGGAAAGGATTGGGAGAACTTCATATTCAAAGGATCAGTCGGGGAAGTGAACTGCCTGAAAAGAGAAAAAAGGTGAAAAACTTGTCAGCGCCTTCTAGGTTCAGCCTGTTCCCATAGCTCAGTGGTTAGAGCATTGCTCATGACAAGCAGGGTCCCAGGTTCGTGTCCTGGTGGGTCTGGCGTTTTTTCTCTTTTCAGGCAGTTCACTTCCCCGACTGATCCTTTGAATAATAATAATAATAATAATTACAGGGGCATGCATGTGTGGTAAAAAAGGAGAAGGACAAAATGTAAAATGGCAATAAATAAGATAAATTGTGCACACATAACAACAGCAAAAATGAAGAAAGTCAAGTTCCATAACGTTTTCTTGTGACTGTCATCAGTGGAACGCCGTCACATAAAAATGCAATAACTAAAACACACACTTATATACATGTAGCTAATATGGTTTCAGGTAGAAATACAGCAGCTAACAAGTACAAAAAGCATTACATTCATTCACACAGTATCACATTCATCTGCCACTACCTTTCTCACATACACTATATTCACACATTGCAAAGGTGCAAACTTCGCTTTTTGTACTTGTTAGCTGCTGTATTTCTACCTGAAACCATATTAGCTACATGTATATAAGTGTGTTTTAGTTATTACATTTTTATGTGACGGCGTTCCACTGATGACAGTCACAAGAAAACGTTATGGAACTTGACTTTCTTCATTTTTGCTGTTGTTATGAGTGCACAATTTATCTTATTTATTGCCATTTTACGACTATTGTCTCCTCGTCGATTGTTTAGACAAAATGTAACGATGACTAACTGTCCACCGTGTTGGAGCTAGGTGTCAGGTCGTTGAATGTCTCAGTACTCCTTGTCAGTTTTGTGCCATTTTGCCGCACTCGCTGACTGCATAAGATATGGTTACTTGTACGTTGGTGGACAGTTAGTCATAACTCGTAACATTTTGTCCTCTCCTTTTGACCTTATTTTATTGGTTAAATACATTTTTCAAAAAGGAGGAGATATAGGGATATGGCCGATTATTTGTCGTTATTTAGAGGGTGCAATAGTTCTGTAGAAAATGATCTAATGTCTTCAATTCGTTTCAAGTGAGCGGGGAGGGCATTCCACATAAGGGATGCTCCGGAAGAAAAGGAATTGTACCCTACCATGGATTTAAACAAGGACATTGGCAAATTGTTTGTTGTAGTTCCACGAGGCCGCATAGACGTGGGCAAAGGGAATAGACTGCGCAAGCATGATGCAGGCTGAACAATATCACAAATAAATGTAAACGTAAGAAATTGATAAATGTATCGACATTCAAGGTTGAAGAGAAGCAAGAAGGGGTGGAACAGCAGCATGGTATGAAGCCCCGCAGGTAACTCGTACAGCTCTACAGGACGAGATAAACAATCTCTCCCTGGACTGTGCTGATAGGTGAGAGGCGTAAACAGGGAAACAATACTCAAAGGCAGGCTGAATCACACTAAGCGGGTACTGGCGACGGACGAATGCTGCATTTGGCGGAAGATGCGTCGCCACGCGCCTATTTTGCGTGACACCTTACGGGTGAGGTGATCTACACGTGGAACAATGAGAACTTGTTGTCCCCAGCGCGGACTTGCAAATTAGATCGTTTGGAGGCAACAACGTTGTGAATGGCCAACGGTCCTCAGGGCTTGTTCAGCACCTCCAAGCGCGACACTGACTCACGCTGCCATCTGGTGTTCACGAGATGTTTGTCGCGCTGGAAACGGAGCGTCTCTGTAAGTTTGTATCCCTGGTGATGTTTGTGCCTGGAGAGCACTATAAAAGTGGTGCTCTTGAAGCACAATCTTCCTCAGCCTACTGAAGCTCACCTGATGAGGGGTGTATTCCCCGAAACACTGTGTATTGAGCAGGGAGTGGTGCTTTCTTGCAGGTTTGCCGATTGGACGGTTCGATGGGCTTCTCGTGTGCTCTGGATGGTAGTCGTGAGTCAGTCAAGTGAAAATTCAAGTCGGCAGGAATAGCGCCAGCTCCCATGTAGGGAGCAACACACAATTAACGTTCATGCCCAGTGATCTTAGTTCACTGTGTAGCTCAGCGAGAGCCGAGGACACGACATCGGTGCATACTATTGGATCCCGTGAGGAAGCATACAAAGTCTTGTCATCGGCACACATGAGCAGCTTTGCACCGCTCTCTGCAGCCAGGTCAGGTAAGAGTCGCAAATATTATGTTAAAAAGGGTGGGACCCAAGATTGTTCCCTGCGGAACCCCTCGGGCTATGGGGAGCAGAGATGATGTTTCAGAGGCCATACATACACGCTGATACCGGCCGTTCAGGTGGGAAGCGAACCATTTCAGGGCAGAACTATGAATACCTAAGTTCCTAAGTTCAAGTTGTTGTAGTTGTTGTAATGTTGTTGTGTAAAGTAAAGATAAGTTCCTGATGCACAACTCGATCAAAGGCTTTGCTTAAGTCAATACATGCTACAAGGGTTGTATGACCTACATCCCTAGCCAACGTCCAGTCATTTTCAGCCAAGGTCATGACCTGCACTGTTGATCGCTGTGGCCGGAAGTCAAATTGATGATCGTGTTAACAAGTATACAGGTCGAAATTGAGCATCGGCTGAAGGAGGACGATACAGACCAAAAAATCCGATACTCTGGAATCCAGCCAGGTCTCAGTGACTGCCAGTATATCTAGGGCGTTATCAGAGATGAGTTTTTTAATGACGAAAACATTTGTTGCGCAGGCTGCATAATACTATGTTAATGTGGCCAAATGAGAGCCGTGGGCCCGTGGAAGAGGGTTGGGAGGTGATGCACAGTGTGATGCGTGAGTCTGCGGAAAGAATGGAGTTGCTTTGGCATTGAGTGCAGAATGCAATCCTGGGGTATGGGAAATGAAGACATCGTTTACTGGGGTCTCTGAGGTAGGGTCCGGTGCGATTGTGTCCTGCGCCACTCACTTTGTACGTTATAATTTTGTTGAGCTCCGGTTTTCCCCTTCAGTCTAACTCAATACAAGTGCAGTTTAGCGTGTATTGGCTTGTGATTTCCTTTCTTCTGTTTGCTTGGCATTTTATCGCTCCACAGGTACCCTCAGTCTCAGGTGCTCTCACATTTGTTCAATTGTTGATTTTGGTCCTGAATTGTCCTCCCTGTTGCTTTGCTACCGTCGTCCTCCTTCCTCCACCTTTTTTCTTAATTGGCCTCATTATGGCATTCGCTTCCATGTAATTGGGCTTGTAGTCCGTGTGTACTTGCGAATTCAAATAAAAATATACATACATACATACATACTCGCGCACCTTATGTCTGAGGGCCAAAAGTCTGGGCTGAGAGCGGCATCCTTATGCTCCATAGGGACTCTCGGACTGAACGTGCTCCATAGGGACTCTCGGACTGAACGTGCTCCATAGGGACTCTCGGACTGAACGTGCTCATAGCCTAGGCCAGTCCGAAGTATTTTGTTTCTGACACTGAGCATCGTTTGACGATCACTGATGGACAGCATGTTGGAAGGTGGAGGACACGCTGTGTCGTGAGAACACTGAACCAAGACTGGGTGGATTTGTCATTGGTCCAGGGTCCTGGGAGGCGAACACTACTGGCAACCGTTGTGAGGCCTACACAGTTCCCTGAGGACCTGACTCTGACTACAAACGTAGTCTCAGTCCATTGAAGGCATTTGTGCAATTGTTGATTTTGCTCCTGAATTGTCCTCCCTGTTGCTTTGCTACCGTCGTCCTCCTTCCTCCACCTTTTTTTCTTAATTGGCCTCATTATGCCATTCGCTTCCATGTAATTGGGCTTGTAGCCCGTGTGTACTTGCGAATTCAAATAAAAAAATACATAATTATATACATTATAATATAAGTCCTTCTTGTCTTGAACTAGTCACAGTGAAGTCAGAGTCCGACTCTGACCGGCTTCAACTAAATAAGTTCAAGATACAGGTAAGACTATCAAGACGACAAGACTTGGACTTTACTTTGGCCTTGGAGTTTGCTGGGTTCAAGTTTTTAATCTACTGGTACTCGGAGGAGGGTGTTTCAACTAGGAACGATTTGACACCAAAATTGTGTAGACCCAAACCGATCATCTGTGTTGTCGTTCACTCGAAATAATATTATGTTTGTGGAAGGTAGCTGGCATGTTGAAGTTTGCTCTGCGGCCAGAGTTTCGAACTGAGCCACTCGGTACTCCTTTGTGTTGCCCCGTTGCCATGGTTGCCCTCAATTTGCCCGATTTTTCGTTTAAAATGTTGTGGTCACAGGGGTTGCTCCAAACAGGAACGCACGTCAAGTTCACCCTGAGTTCCGAAATTAGGTAATTGCTATCGCTCCACGCAGCAGTCGCTCCCCTACCAAGTGAAGTCCCACTGACCCGTGATGTAATAAGTCGCCTGATGATTGCATTCAGCACTGAAGTAACTCTGCCTGCGACAAACCTCCATGCGCATATACATGTATGCATGGTGGCAATATGGCCTTTCGTACTTTTTCAAGTTTTTGCTGTTTGATTAGATTGCTCGGTTATCAGTGACGTCATAACAATAACCAAACCGAAAATATTTTTTGTCCAGCATCTCGGGCCGGCTCACGTGATAGCACGTTGGTCCAAATGGCGGGAAAGTTCGAAAGGAAGCAAGCTGTAGCTTGCAGAGATTTGTGCAGACTGCAGAGTCCTGTTGTGCAAGGTTTCTCAGGTTTGAGAAAGCTGGCGACCGCTTTGCATTTTCCTTGGACTTGGAGTTTATGCACCGACTTTCAGCAATCTTTCGGTGTGGAACTTTCGGACTTGGGAAAATGGAGAACGTTCTCTCTCCGGTTAGCAATGGCGTTTCCCAGCGGGCACCAAACGGCGAAGTGAAAAAGCCAGTCAAACAGCGGCACGAGGAGTACCAATACTTGGATTTGATAGAAACGATTATTGGAACGGGAAATGCGAAAGGAGACCGAACCGGCACAGGCACGCGAAGCTTGTTTGGTGCTCAGATGCGCTTCAACCTGCGCGACGGCCAGTTTCCACTGCTGACGACCAAGCGTGTGTTCTGGCGAGGAGTCGTGGAGGAGCTCCTCTGGTTCGTGCGAGGCTGCACCAATGCCAAAGTCTTGTCCGACAAGAACGTGCACATCTGGGATGCCAACGGATCTCGCAGCTTCCTGGACAAGCTGGGCCACACGGAGCGCGAGGAGGGTGATTTGGGACCCGTGTATGGCTTCCAGTGGCGACATTTCGGTGCTGAGTACAAGGACATGCACACAGACTACACGGGACAAGGTGTGGACCAGTTGGCTCAAGTCATACACACCATCAAGACAAACCCGAACGATCGACGCATAATCATGAGCGCCTGGAACCCGGCAGGTACGTCGCAACCGCCCGTGCACTATAAGTTGTACTGTTTGTGCACTGGGTGCGTTTGTGTGCGCGCGTGCATGCACGTGTATGTGTGTGCGCGCGCGCGTCTGTGTATGCGTATGTGCGCGCACGTGTGTGTTTTGGGTGGATGCGTTATCACCAAAGAAGTATCACGAGGTCAAGGTGACCAATGCATGAGGTTTTGATGTCGTATAATTAGTTATTTATATATAATAAGAGCTCACTGCCTGATAGGGGTGTGTACTCAAACTGCTCTTACACGGCCTCATCCGCGTCTGTACCCTGTCCATAATTCCTAACCATATCCTCAAATACATTGATGCGGTATAATTATATACCGTTCCTAACGTCTTCTTCAAAATCAGTCTGTGTGATGATGTCAGGAAATATGTTCCCTTTGTGTTGATGCTCGTAATGCTGGCATCACAGGACACTGCAACATCCGTTTTGACTGCACTGCCTACCTGATCATTCTCTATTTGTGCCATGTGTGTGTGTGTGTGTGTGTACATGATGTGTGTGTGTGTGTGTGTGTGTGTACATGTTCAGACCTGGGCAAGATGGCCCTACCGCCGTGTCACTTGATGTGTCAGTTCTACGTGGCCAACGGCGAGCTGTCTTGTCAGATGTACCAGCGATCGGCCGACATGGTTAGTAGGTACTCTGTACGGACTGTGTGCTGTGCTGCGCTGGCTACAAGCGCACCCGACACACACACACACACACACACACACACATACACACACACACACACATACACACACACACACACACACACACACATACTGTAGTGTCGTGTATAAATGCATGACTCGAATAGAAGCCGCTCTCTGCGAAATACACGTGCAAGTACTCTCACAGTATATCATGGTACATGCCTGGCAGTATGCACTGCACAGTGTAGACATGTTGACGTAGAAGCATGTTTCGAGTAGAAGCGAAACTTGAATAGAAGCCTGGTTTGAACCCCGGCGTATACGGCCGTAAGCGCCTGCTTTTATACGCGACATTTTAGTACGGTACTGTGTGTGTGTGTGTGTGTGTGTGTGTGTGTGTGTGTTCCTCTCTCTCTCTCTCTCTCTCTCTCTCTCTCTCTCTCTCTCTCTCTCTCTCTCTCTCTCTCTCTCTCTCTCTCTCTCTCTCTTGTGCTGTATATATGCTGTGTGTTGCAGGGACTGGGCATTCCGTTCAACATTGCCAGCTACTCGCTACTAACGTGTATGATTGCTGAAGTCTGTGATCTCAAGGTAAGGACTGGCACTGACAGGTTACGCATGTCTTACTAACTGTGCATGGGAACAGCTCGCTGTAAACTACCCTGCCGTTTGCATACATTGGATGGGCTGTGATGTACTGCACTCGCTGTGATGTACTGCACTCGCTGTGATATACTGCACTCGCTGTGATCATGATGTACTGCACTCGCTGTGATGTACTGCACTCGCTGTGATGTACTGCACTCGCTGTGATGTACTGCACTCGCTGTGATGTACTGCACTCGCTGTGATCATGATGTACTGCACTCGACGAAATACTGGTCGGTGAGTATTTTTGCCCAATTCCAAAGAAAGGGAGTTAATCCTGTGGATAATTCCGCCTGTGGGCCGTAATACGTATTAGAAAGCTTTTAAAACAAATCGGAGTCGCCTGGCAATTCTTTTAGTCCGAAAACGTCTTGGTTGGAAAAGACGAAATTGCGTTCCCAGCAACTGTGTCTGCTTATACACCGGGTCCGCACAGGTTATGGAAAGTCTGGAAAACGTATGATATTTGAGTATGAGTTTGGAAAAGTTTTGGAAAGCTAAGTTTCCGACTGTCACGTTTCAGCTTGTGCGCGTTCTTTGGCTTGTGTTTGGTCATGGAAAAGTTCTTAAATTTGGTAGTGATTTTCCTGTGCAAACCCTGTATACAGCACTGCGTTCTGTGCTACAGCGCGTGTACCGGCTATTTGACCTTGGATACACGCTACCCACCACTTCAGGTGTAGAGTACGGATTTGTTGGGGCCGTTTTAAGGTCCGCTATTCTGAAGTGTCACGGTGCCATGAACTGCTTTTACAGTCAAACTATAGACGCGTACCTAGGCAAAAACCATTATGCCAGCATCTATACCACATAAAATCTGTGATCACTTTGTGCATATTTTTTTCCAAATTGGGCGTCTGTTATCCAATCGTTATGAAACTATTATGAGAGTAATTGTGGAGCGGACCTGAGCAATATTCCGAAAACTGTTCTCAAAAAGTTCCAGCCAAATTTGAAATATTTCAAAAACACTACGAGTCTATAGTTTTGAAATGGACTGTAGTCAGTTCTTACTGGTATTGAGCCTTTGAAACAGTTTGGGGTGAAAACTTGAATGTCCTTGAGCAATGAATATTTATCCGCCCCTTTGAATGGCATCAGAATGAAATTTAACTTTTGTGGGTTTGTGCGAACCCAGGGTTCATCTGCCGTGAATACTTCATGCCTGTCTCATAAAAAACACCGCCTTGCTCCACCTGGCTGGTGGCAAGGGATCCAGTGTCCATTGTACTGACTCAACACTGTTCTGTACGCAGTTATCGGCGATCAAGTACCAAATTACACTGCAGTGCCTCACCCCGAGTGTTTGCTGCCAGCAATGGCTACATGCTGTTCTGTGTAACTTGCATGTAATCTGGATGATGTACATGTGTGATTGTAGTGCTGGTTTCACTATGGCGTTCAGAGGTGCATCTAGAACCTGCTAAATGTGTGCTGTATGTGTGCGCGTGTGTGTGTTTTGTCTTGCAGCCTGGTGACTTCATTCACACGCTCGGTGATGCGCATGTCTACAGTAACCACATTCAGCCTTTGCAAGAACAGGTGAGATACCGTACTTGATGTGCTCTGTGTGTGTATGTGTGTGTGTGTGTGTGTGTGTGTCACCTTGCCACTGCTGCGATAGGGCCCCTGAACTGAACTTGCCACTGTTGAGACTATGTTAAGCTAAACCTCACACTGCTGAGACTGTCCAGCATCCAGCTGGTCTGTAAAGCGCACTGTCCATTGACACCAACCACCGTGCTGGCAACTGAAATCCGACCCCCTTGCCGGCGCGGCGCGCCGGCAAGGGGGTCGGATTTCAGTTGCCAGCACTGTACATGTTGGTGAAATTTGACGTGATGTGCAAACCCGGCACCCTGGACCAGTTCCTGTATCACTGTACTCTGTACAAATGTATGTTCAGCTGCATTTGTACCACTTCCCGGGCACCAAGCACCGGACGAGTAGTCCAAGGCGCGAAATGAGTACTTTGGGTCCGGGTTTCACCTCTGTCTAATGATGCCGACCCACGGTGACGTTCAGTCATTCACACATGAGCGCCAATGCTGACACACACTGTCTAGTCGTATACAGGTCTGCTCTCGATATAACAACTCCCACTTGTATGTAAACCTCGCTAGTACGTAAAAAAAATCAAATCCCGCGCCGAAACAGCATCACTCCCATACAAATTTTGTTCTACACAACATAATCCTACATGAGGCCATGGTAAAAATTACCTTTGAATCTCAAGTATCTCAAGATTTTTGGCGGCGCACCGACGATTTTTTTATTTCTATGCATGCATATGCGCGCATGAAAACGGTCAATGCGAAAGGCATGAATCAGGGAGTAGTAAAATACCGGTATTTTTCTACTCCCTGGCCTGAATAATAAAATAATTATATGAACCTGTGATGTACGTATGTGTGACCCTATCTTTGGAAATAAAATAAAAAATCGCTCGCTCGCACCGATTTCACAGGCTCATGACCGGAGAATCAACTTTATTTTTTACCATGCCCTAACATAAACCTCGACATAACACACGCTACGGCGCGGTCCCCGACATGCGCACTATCGATACAACGTAAATTCACGTGCACGGTACGATCAAGCGGTAGCTGTAGCTAGGCAGTTTAGGCCAGATTAGTCCTACATAACAGAAACCTCGGCATAACGCACCCTACGGCGCGGTCCCCGGCCTGCACACGCTTGATACAACGTAGATTCGCATGCGCGGTACAATCAGGCTGTAACCGTATCTAGCCAGTTTAGTCCCATTGTGCACATATTCTGCGGCATTGATGGTATCTGATGTCGATGGTGGTACAGTATGTACATGTTTGCACGGTTAAATCCGCCTTGTAATACCCTTCATTTTGAGGTACTGTACAAGCAGAAATATTCGTCTGGAATTTAATTTCGTCCAACGAGCTGTTGGACTAAATTAAATGCCGGACTAATATTGATTTGTTCAGCTTTTTAATACACTCTTATGATCCATGGACGAAATTTACAACCGGACGAACTCCCTTTCTTTGGAGTTGGACGAAATTATTGACGGATGAAAGTTTCTGCTTATACAGTATCTTGTATTTTACACACGGTTTTCTACATAAGGGAGCATCTCATAAGTTCGCATTTATTTTGCAAACGTAACGCATTTCGAATAGACTTTACCCCCCTACCTCCCCCCTCTATTCGAAAGTCTTTTCGCACATTTTCTGTGTTTATCTACTGTACACGTCCGTGCCCCATACTATGGTATGCTTATGTACATGATTGTACAGTCATGTACATGTACATGTACATGGATATGAATGTTTTGCTAGAGCGGTCGTGAATGGCATACAGACTCAGTAGTACTGCATTTACTGAGTACAAGTACAATCAATGACAGGTACACGCACATAAACATAGTTCCTCCACAACAACTGTACTGCTGTAAACCTGTAAACGCTGGCCAGGTACATGGTTTGATCAGGCTGGATTGACATTTGACACCTCTGAGTAGCCTGCATGCATGCAGTGCAAGGGTTAGCTGATCTGCAAACACAGGTAGATCTCCACCTAAACACACTCATTTGCTGCAGGGATCTAGCACGGTAGTAGATTGTACAGTTCCAGAAAATGTGCGAACAGTCATTTTTCTATTCGAAAAGGGCGCTACCCCCCTACCCCCGTTTCGAAATGCGTTACGTTTAGAAACAAAATGCGAACTTATGAGATGCTCCCTAACATAACTCTCGATATAACATGATTTTTGCGTGGTCCCAGAGATTACGTTACATGGAGAGTAGACCTGTATACATGTGGGTCAGCTGAGAACAGTGGCCCAGTGAATGCTGTCTGATGAGTGCCCAGTGCATATGGCTGCAGTTCCCGCAAAGTAGTCTACCATCTCTGGTGCGGTCAGCGCTCTTTGAGGTGCCCCAACTGGCCCGGATTGTGTCTGCCTTCTTGTTTTCAACCGTGTGTGTGTGTGTGTGTGCAGCTGAAGCGTGAACCGCGCGAGTTCCCGACTATGAAGATCAAGCGCAAGGTGACGGACATTGAAGACTTCAAACTGGAGGACTTTGAGCTCGACGGCTACAAGCCGCATCCGAAGATTGCCATGGAAATGGCCGTATAGAGAGAGTGTGTGTGAAAGAGAGAGAGAGAGAGAGAGAGAGAGAGAGAGAGAGAGAGAGAGAGAGAGAGAGAGAGAGAGAGAGAGAGAGAGAGAGAGAGAGAGAGAGACTAGCACTGCTGGTATTGTCGTCCAGTGTTACGCTTCACACAATGCCTTGCAACGTGTGGAGGACTAGCAGCATATGGAATGTGTCATTTGGACATTGGAGTCGGACTGACGTCCGTGTGCAGGTCATGGTGGTGTTGCTGTTTGCTGCAACATGCTGTGTAACGTCTCCTCTGACGTGTTCGCTGCTCTCTTGCGCTGCCAGTCCTGTGTATGCTGTTCGTGCTCGGTAGGTAAATGAATAGCGGCCTAGTTCTGTGCAGGCCTCTCCTGTTGATTGGCTACATCCCGTGTGGCTGTACAGTTCGGACACTTTTTTCGGCTTTGCATGCTCCCCATTCGGCCCATCGTATGTCCACTCGGTGTAGTCTCTTATAGAGTTCCGGTTGTCCTATGTATGTGTGTGTGTGTTTGTTTGTTCCTCCCTCCACCTTGCTTCTGTACATACGCTACTGCTGAAACATATCTTGCTGTTTTGTCCTGATCTTTGTCGTTTTCCTTGTTTTTCATATTATTTCTTACTTTTTTTAATAATTATTAATTTGTTTGCCCATTTTGAACTTCCCATAGTTTTTAGGCATTTCAGGTGATAATTACACTGTGCTGATGCTTCATCGCTATATCATAGACCTCAGTAGTATGTTGTGCTTTGTCAATGCGTCCATCGACCTGCTTGTTTGTTTGGTGGCATGTGTTGTGGGGAACAAACAAAACAAAAAACCCAAAAAACAGGGCCTGGGGATCGGGGATTCACTCTCTGCGCTGCGTGACTTGTTGTCGAGTACCGGTATTTGTGAGCAGGCAGTATTTTTTAATTATTATTACTCCCTGTGCGTGCGTGAGATTTTCACCGTGTCGTGCAGCTTGCCATGTGTGCATTCCTCACCAGCAGATGCAAGTAGGACATCGAACGATCAGTGAAGAGAAAGAAGTGCTATGTTTGTTTCTTTCGGAATCCTGGATGTGCAAAATAGTCGGTCGTCTTTCCCAGGTGTGCGTTTTGCATCAGCGGGCATGCCTAGGCTGGATGGGGGTAGCACATGTATAGCTTGGGGTGAAGGAGAGGTAAATAATTATGGGTGCTGCCATAACCAAGAGTGTGTGCAACACCTATTTCGAGCTGCGATAGGTTCACCCACGGCGGGAGTTTTTTTATTGCGTCATTCTTTGGCTTCGAAGTGTGTATGCTTTCCATGCTTGTTTTGTAGATACGGTGAGAGTTCATCAGGTTCAGGACATATCGATCTATCGTCCGTTGTTCTGCTTCGACTACCGTAGCTGTGATGTACAATTTTTTTTGTACTTTGATCTCTGGCTACGCATGATGGCATCAGTGAGCCAAACAGCCACCAAAGACAGGTCATAAAAAAATTCCGCAGCAGGCTGGGGATCGTTGAATTGCACACTCTTGGTTATGTACTCTTGGTGCTGCTAAACTGGCAAACTACTCATTCATCGACCGGCGAGAGCAAGCACACGCTGTGGCCAGTGGAGGCACCAGTGGCATCCAACAGTCCGTATCACGACGGTTTCTAGAACGTCACTTGCCGGGACCAGTGCTCCTGTTTTCCCCTCCTGTAACGACATGCTTGAACAGGTGCACATTTTTACAAACAACCAAAACAAATCACTGTACCGAAAACCCGATAACAAGGCCATGACATGACTACACCATCTGTGGAAACCATGGTGACAAGCCCATTAGACATACAGTGGAGATTGGATATAACGACCTTGCATATAACGACAGATTGAGTTTAGCGACACAATTCTGTTGCCAAAGTCGTTCAGTAAGTCCTTTGTGAAGATCGGATTTAGTGACATATCAAATATAGTGACGTTTTGTTCTCTCCCGAAGGAGTATCGTTATTCCAATCTCCAGTGTAACAGAGTCCCAGTGGCAGGCATGGGGTCGCCAAGAAACTATGCAATAGCTGACGGCTGCACAACCGTTGGAACATCAAGGGCACCGATAATACTTACCTTACGCTGGTCTACAGGGTACCAACGGGACGACTAGATGGCGATGTAGCTCTCTCTCTCTCTGCATCTTTCTCTCAGTCTCTCTCTCTCTCTCTCTCTCTCTCTCTCTCTCTCTCTCTCTCTCTCTCTCTCTCTCTCTCTCTCTCTCTCTCTGTCTGTCTGCCTGTCTCTCTCAGTCTCAGTCTCTCTCTCTCTCTCTCTCTCTCTCTCTCTCTCTCTGTCTGTCTGCCTGTCTCTCTCAGTCTCAGTCTCTCTCTCTCTCTCTCTCTCTCTCTCTCACACACACGGGTCTGCTTGGCTTTCACTCTCCCCACTTAAACATACGTCAACTTCATTCACACCCATACGAATCATGAGCCCACACATCCCTCCTTCAGCCACCATACCCCACACTGACACTGACACACTCACGACGCAAGCAAGCGATACTTAGCTAGCAGTCTAAAACCAAAGCAATGCGGATGGGGAGAGGGTGAGACACCTAGACAAAGAATGAAAAAATGTTGAAAATGTCGAACGAGCGGGGAGATGAAAACTACGAAAACTGGAACTGCAGAACACAAGTGGGTGATGCGTTAACGTATGCCATTAGACTCCGACAAGAGGAGCACATACAAAAACGGGGGATGGGGACCTAGGGACAAGGACGAGAGGATACAACAGAGAGGGAGGGAGGGTGCAAGTAACACACACACGAGCACACACCAACACTTTGTCAGCCGTCATCGCCTCTCAGTCAGAACGCATCACTGGCCCGCAATCTGCCCCAGCTCTCACGGTCTCGGTAGCGGCAGCAGCTCACACACACTCTCTCTCCCTCTCACTTGATAACAGCGTAGGCGTTGGCGAGTGAAGTTGCCATCTCTCTCTCCCTCGCTCTCTCTCGTCGCTCATCACCATCACACTGGTTCCGTCCAACACTTTCGCCGCAGCTCTCTCCCTCGCTTGACACAGGGACATCACACTCAGGTCAGATCAGATCTCTCTCTCCCTCTGCCACTCAGTGATCACAGCATAATACGCTAGACTCTCTCTCTCCGCCAAGCAAACCGTCTCCCGCGCGCTTACAGTCAACACACCACTGTCAAACATCGGCCAGCGTCTAGTCACCACCTTCACTCCACAAACTCAAACCTCCTCGCAACAGACATTCTTTTCAGGCGCTTCAACTCACAACACGCAACCACATCACCACCACCATTACCTTCACCGTGACGACAACGTGTCCACCTTCAGGAATACCACCGGACACAACAAGGCACTGGCCCAAACACGGCACAAGAGAATGCACGTACCCAAGACAGCAACCGAGGCAGAGAAACAGCGGAACACTCGTCGTGCAAACACCAACACCAACACCAACACACACACACAAGAGAAACCGCCGCACCAACACCACCAACAACGGGGAACAGAGCAGAACGGACGGCGAACAACGACAAGGCGTAAGATATAGACTAGGTCGCCACGGGACGGACGGCAGCAGCACGGAGGAGGAGACGTGGCATAGGAAACTGGAAAGAGCACTGCATCACCGACATCAACAAGGCTGAACCAAACAACATGCCGCGAAAGCCAGTGCACACACACACACCATGACAACAATGGGCACGGAAAAACAGACGTGAAGAGACCGACAGCAAGGTGGAACGGAGATGGATTGGAATGACGGCGGATAGGAAGATGGCTGGATGGCGGAAAGAGACAGAACACGCTAAGGAGAGCACCGACAGTATATACAACCACACAAGCCAACAGTGCTAGGCCAGTGTAGACTCTCGAATACAGACAGAGATAGGAAGAAGAGGTGCTGGAGGCAGTTACCACCTGTAGGATGGATTGGACGACTGTACGTTACTCATGGATGACTGGTGCTGCGGGTGGCCACCATGGCTTGCAACACCGCCCTGTGTGTGTTGCTGCTGCTGCTGTTGCTGTTGTTGAGCCAATGCCGTCATGTCGATGCCCAGCGCAGCGGGATTCAACGCACCGCTAGTGGCGGCCAGAGCGATCTGAGAGAGCAGTGCCTGCGATGCAGCCGTCGACAACTGTGCGGCCGCACCACCGGCTTGCTGCTGTCCAACTGCACCGCCGCCGCCACCACCACGTCCGCCGCCACCGTGATGATCGGGGTTCTTACGCGGCTCTGGGGTGGCCACGTTCAAGTGCGTTCCCTTGATGATGTGCGGTGCGTTCTCCAGGCAGTGCATGGCCGCCGACGGCTCCGTGTAGGTCACAAACGCAATGCCGCGGAACGGCTGCGGCAAGTAGATGTCGGTAGTGATGCCAAACTGACTGAAGTGCTCCTGGAGGTCTTCCTTGGTGATCTCCTGCGTCAGACAGCCGATGAAGAGCTTGCGAGGAAACTCCTGGTTGCCCTGCGTGTACGTATGCAGAAATCAGCGTGACCAGACAAAATCGCGCGCGCACACACACACACATGCACAAACACCATGTAAGTCCGCCGCAGGAGAACAGGACCGGAGAAGGCAGCTTGCCATTGGCCCAGCCATAACCTAACTGCTCACATTATAGGCACTATGTGGGTTAGAACGAGTTCACGAAACCAAGAGCGTGCAGCTTCTGACTTTACTGCATGGTTGTCGGTAACGGCGAAATTCTACGATTACATCATAGTTGGTGCACATTATTAAAGGTGTCGTAGGGCGAACAACTGGAGATCTGCTTGAATCCAGCGTGTACGCCGCACTACATCACAGGAATTTCGCCGGGATAGCAACCAATTCAAACTGCACACTCTTGGTGACATCAAGAGTACATAGCCCCCAAGAGTGTGCAACTCCCACATACCCTGCTGTCCCGACAGAATTTCAAGTTGACGTCATTATTTATGATGCAATGCTCCTTGCACCAGTGATTTACTACATGTGTACGGGTGTCAACGCATCACACGTTTTTCTTTGTACAGGATCAGATGGGCTATGGTCCACCACAGGTTCCGGATTCGTCTGGTAATCCGCGTGCAGTGCCCATTGCATCATATAAATGACGTCAACTTGAAATTCTGTTGGGACAGCACCCATAGTCGAGTCACACACTCCTGGGGGGTTATGCACTCTTGGTTACATGTACTCTGGTTGGTCACAAGAAACCTAGCGGGGCAATGAACCAGGACGTTCCTGGCCTAAAGGTTGGTCCCGCTAATTGCTGCACTGCACAGAGTCGGCCAAGTATATAAACTAGCAAGAGCGCTGCACTACACTGGTGGCGTGACGTGTGAGAAATACGGGATGAGTTCGGCTGCACAGAGGAAGTAGGTGTGATCTGTGCCTGCTGCTGCTGTAGACAAACACACCTGGTGTTCGTACAGCCAGGATTGCTCCGGGAGTACGCTACATACCCTCCACCAAGAGTACATGAAAACCAGAGTGTGCAGCTTGGGACTTTTTCTACTATGGGTGTCTGTCAAACATACACACACTCACACACACACACACACACACACAAACACACACACTGCACTGTACTTGTTGCTCACTGCCAAAACTGGTCAAGTGAGTCCCCCGGGAGAGGGGAGAGAGACTCAAGAGGAACCTTGGAAAGATGACTCAATTAGTTATTGAACCGCCCAACGGCCGACACCCCCTGAAATCCCCAAAACTCTGGGTGGACTTGAAAATGATCCCACTTATGGGCTCACCATACCTCAGTAAGTTGGTGAGAACCAAACACACCTTGGTCCTTGGTAACACTGCCATCAAATGGTCACGTGTCCACACACACACACACACACACACACACACACACACATAAACACGCGTACCTTTCGGACAGGCAGCTTGATTTCACAGCGGCGTCCCATAACAAAGTGATAGCGGGTGGAGACCATCTGCTTGTTAACTTCGGGGTCGATGAAACGGATAAAGCCAAAGCCCTTCGATCGGCCGTCAGAGTCAGTATTTACCTGGGGGACGAGAGCACCAAACACACAGGCACAGCATTGCAACATCAGGGCATCACAGTGATAGAGAGGGAGAGAGAGAGAGATAGAGTATTTAAAGAAAGAGAGAGAAAAAGAAAAAGAATTGGGGGGGGGGGGGTACAATTGCACCTGCGAGCCAGAGAAACCTAGGACTTGTACAGAAAACAACTCGGCCGACCAACACACATCCACACAAGCACATTTCGGCACTGGCATTTGGAAGAGACCCAACTACTGGCCAAGGCATGCATGCATGCATGTGTGTGTGTGTGCGTACATATGTGCGTGTACATGGTGTGTGGCACACACAACGAATAGGCTTGCTTACGAGGTGGAGCTAATGTCTTTCTAAAGTTGGAAGTTCCTGTATGCGAAGGACGACGGTCTTATCCTACCCGACACAGCAATTCTAAAATTTAATATGGACATTGGTGTATGCGAACGACAGGGACTCACCATACCCGACATAGTAATTCTAAATACATGTCCAGGCAGTTTCCTCAGAGAGAAGAATGCAATGACACTGAGAAGAAGGACCCACTCTTCAAGCTCTTCTCTTTCCTTTCTCCTCTATATCATGCCATGTACAGTCAAACCTCGCTAGGACGAACTTCAAGGGACTGGACAAGTTTGTCATATCCGGAGTTCTTCTTATCCAGATCTGACAAAAAAATGATATGCATATCATACGGATTGTATTTAAGTAAAGGTGCATGTTGTGGCACGTGTGAAGCATTTTATTCATAGCATAAGCCAGCAACAGGTAAAGACCGTGTGCAATGAATCCATGACAGCATGTCCTTCGCCTGGTACCATGCTGTCAATTCGCTTTGTCCATACAAGAGGCCTCGGCTATCGGAAAAAAAACCACAGCCAGTGCACGCATGTGGACCGAAAGTTCGTACTACGTGCTGATTTGTTCAAATCACGCTTGAATTAGTTCATCTTCACGAAAGTTCGCCAACCAGAGTTCATCGTAAACGAATAATTTTGACTTGATAATTATGATGCCTGGCCAACCATAGGATTGGCCCTAGTTCGTACTGATGGAAAGTTCGCCTTATCAGTGTTGGTCCTAACGAGGTTTGAGTGTACAGACATTGGTGCATGCAAAGAAGCAGCACATCTCTTCATACCTGACAGAGCGCCATCTGACCGTGCTGTGAGAAATACTCCTTGACGTCCTCCGTAGAAGCCTTCCACGGAAGACCCAGTACAATGAGATCCGTCTCGCCGGCGTCAACGGGTGCTGACGCGGCGCCTGCGGTGCCCATACTATACTGTTTCGCCGGTGGGGCGGACGAGTCACCTTCATGCCGGCGCTTGGCTGCCTCGGCTACACACCACCAACAACACACATGTGATGAATATACACATACGCAAACACACACACGTACACACACCCACACGTACACACACACACACCCACCCAAACACACACGTACAACCAGAGCGTTTTCAGTTAGCCAGCAGCACCAATGGTCCCGATGATGTTTGCTGCTACCAGTGACTCACAAAGCAAGTGGGTAGTAAGTTCATGCTAACAATGATGTGAACAGTCCAATACAGTACGATAAGATTATATTAGAAGAATGGTGGTGAAACAACCCCGGCGCACTGGCGCTAACTACACGCCTGCCTACACAGCACTCCATAAGCTGCAAGGTATCTACCGGTATGTTCCAGACGCTAACCCATGTACCCGCTACCAGCTATGCCAATATCACCAGCCATGGATCGACCAGGCGCTAACTGACGTACCAGCTATCAGCCACGGCAACATCACCAGCCATGGATCGACCAGGCGCTAACTGATGTATCAGCTATCACCAATGGCAACATCACCAGCCATGGATCGACCAGGCGCTAACTATTGTACCAGCTATGGCAACATCACCAGCCATGGATCGACCAGGCGCTAACTGATGTACCAGCTATGGCAACATCACCAGCCATGGATCGACCAGGCGCTAACTGACGTACCAGCTATCAGCCATGGCAACATCACCAGCCATGGATCGACCAGGCGCTAATTGATGTACCCGCACCCGCCAAGATATGCCAATATCACTAGTCACACATAGACCAAGCGCCATGTGCTAACCGATGAAGCACTCTTTGCCAGAATTTTGCAGATTAGAAAGTGCTATGTGGACAGGCGTGCACTTACCGTTATTTCCCCAGGTGCGCGTGTTAAGTACTTTTTACCATCATGCCAAGAACTAGAAAAACGACATCACCTAAAAAAACCTCCGCAGCTGTGTCTAGTCTTCAACAAGCAGACATGAGGACCAGGCCTCCATCCAACCAGTTATTCTAACCCTCGAGACCAGGCAAATATCAAGACACTGCAACACATGAACCATAGCTTCCACAGCCTTTGCTCTTAAAACTCTCCTGCAGCTTCTGAAACCAGAGCACGATGACTCCATGGTATATCTGCTAGTTCTTCTGTCTGTGTACATCTGCCATCTACTGTAATTCCGCGCATACACCCCCCCCCCCCCCCCCCAGCTTTTACGCGAAATTTGCAGCTTCGGGTAAATTTTTCAGATCAATGGTTGGTTTTAGTAGAATTTTGAAGGTACGCGAAAAGTACAAGTCCGCCCGCACCGGTACTAGTACTAGTAGTGGGCCCACTGCATGCTACTGGTAAACTGGGCTGACCTGCTGTACTATCGTAGCAAGAGTCCATGGGGTCATGCAGCAGGGGTGTAGCTGGTCCCCCTTTTAGGGGGGGGGGGGGGGGGTGCACGGGCGCATATGCGTAGGATGGCTGGTGCATGTCATTCATGGTCATTTATATATGTACATGATGAACCCAGGCCGAAATTTTTAGGGGGTGCGACCCCCCCCCCCCCCCCCCCCCCCCCCCCCCCCCGCCTACAACAGCGTGATCCACTGCGTTTCATTGCGGTTCTCACCGCTCTTAGCAATGGAACACAGCTCAAGCCATTGTTAATTTTCCACAGTCTCAAGGATGTGCGCACGCGAACGTTTCCAAGTCAGTGCTAGTGGGGTTCCCATTGGAGTGTGCAGAAGCCCAGCCTGGTGTAATGTGTTAGTTCTCAAACAGCTAGCGAACAGAAACACGAAACCTGCATTGTGTGTGCCAAAACGCCCAACTTCAAGAACAGATTTCTATTCTAATTCAAAAATAGGACTTTCTACAAGACACTAAAAAACACCCCATGGTCAATTCCGGCCGAATAGGGCAGGAGGCGTTCGAGACCATGTTTTTTTCTGAATTCAATGAGCTCGACAAAGAAGTAAGTGTAGGTACAGCTCATCTCTTCTCCTTCACACAGGACATTATTGCACGTACTGAAGTATAATTATTTTTCCGACTGTGGCCCGGTATAAAAATACATGAACTTCAAGATCATTAGAGGTGTGTACGCATATGCACCCGCCACAGTTTCTACCTCTTGCAGGATTCTTACCTTTGAGTACAACGACATAGGTAGCCATTCCCCATCCATCAGTCGGAGGCCAAATGGTGCCGTCGGACACTTTGAGGCCGCGAAATGCGCCCGACTCGGCGCGATACTTCAAGCCCGTGGCACCAGGAAACTGGGCCTCCAGAGTGGAGAGCAGAAGAAAGCCATTGTCCTCAGCCGGTAGCTCAACGAGACGGTCTGTCTGTGACTCGTCGTCCGTGACCAGTACAAACTGAGACATTTCACACACTGCTTGCAGGAAGACAAAAAAAATCTTCTTGCAAAGTGAACCAACAACAGCAAAAAAAGCAAGGAAGTCCACCGAACAACGAGGCGCTACAAAACCTCACAAAATATTTTACGCACTTTCCCCATTTTTGGCTCGTGAGTTGTGACGTACATCGTTGGCCACGTGACGTAACGTGAACATTTGTGACGTAATGCAAAGGTGATGCTTCTTTAAAAAAAAAATTTCAAAAAAGATGAAGCAAACGTTGCCTTCTTCTCTCTGTAGCTGCATGACGGATGTGAAAGAAAGTCCTTCCAAGTATCGTTGAAGCTGCTTCTGTTCTTGAAGTTAGTTCGTCATTGCTTGCTTCATTTTTCCCTAGCTTTGCTGAGGAACAACAGCCACACATAGATAAACGTTCCTTTTTTTCTCCAGCGTTTCAACTTTGAGGAGACTGGTGTTCAAATAAAAAGAGGTTTGAAGATGCAAGCCTCGCGAACATCGACCGCTCAGGTCAATCCCAGTCGCAGCGCCGATTTCGGCGAGAGCTTGACTTGTACGATCTGTGCGGAGATCTTAGAGGGTGCTGTCTCGGTGCAGCCATGTCTGCACACGTTCTGTGGAGCATGTGCGTCTCATTGGATCATGGAACAAGGTCACGAAAATTGTCCAGAATGTCGAAGGCCGGTGACGGCTCTTGCCACGAATCACCGAGTGATGGACCTGGTGGGAAAATATCTGCTGGAGCATCCCGATGAGGAGAGGACGCCAGCAGAGAAACAGAAGATGCGCCGCGCGAACCAGGTGGAGCAGAATGGCGGTATTGTGCAACTCAACGCAGCCAGAATGCGTGGTGCGGGTGCCACCACCGCGACTACCCAGCAAAGCAGCGACTCGTCGGATAGTGGTTTGGGATGGTTGGTAGGAGCAGCGGCTGTTGGTGCCGTTGTCGGTGGTGGGCTCATTGCGCTGCTGGCTGGCAGCAAGAAAGAGAAAAAGTGAGTTACCTGTAGGTCAGGGAGATAAATAAATTGGAAAAGATCACTTGCAAGGCCGCCATTATGCTCAGCATCAACTTACTGCATCTACTGAAATGATGGACTCACGTTTCTGCTTTGACTTAGTATAATTATGGTGTTCCATTCCTAGGGCTGCAGGGGCATATGATTATGCTCATCTTAATCCACAGCGCAACCACCATACTCCTGTGGTCTCTCTCTCTCTCTCTCGATCTCTCTCTCTCTCTCTCTCGCTCTCATTTTATTCATTTTCCCATTCTGTCCTTCCCCACATCTCAACACCCTCCTCAGTCCTGTGTACATGTGCTGTCAGCCGAGTGACTCGGCCGGTTGTCGGGTTGAGCTTTGCACTAGTACACACGACACGCACTGGATGTCTACTTAATATCAAGCGTATTGCCTTGAGCACCAACCGAGATGTATTCGTCCATCGTCTAACCGCTATTTCACGTTTGCTGGCCCGTATCACAGATAGTCCCATTCGACCTTCGCGTCGGCACGACATTTTATTAACATTATTATCATTACTCCATCTCCGGACAGGCAGGGGACTATTTTTTTATTTTACGTAGATAATGGCACTTCTAGCGTACATGTATCCTTGTTCCCCTCACAGTAGCTATGGTGACCATGATAGCTGTGTGTGCATATGCAGTGCTGCTCGATGAAATCCAGTCGCGCGAGTCGAGCTTGCTGCGCCGTGCGTCCTTTCGCAGCCCAGTGTTTGCAGGTCCAGGGCCGTGCAATGCGTACTTGAGTGACGCGGCGGGATTTCATTGAGCAGCTCTGTAGTTCCTGGAGCCGTGGCCATAGTGCTAGTAGTCATTTGCCGTGTTGTGGTCGAGTTTCAGCCGCATGGAGACGTGTATGTAGCAAGCAGGAGCCACGGGTATGTGCGATCCGCGGGAGCCTAATCGGCAGGGCGCTGTACTGGAAAGGCAGTTGTGCTGTCAGTGAAGTATGCAGTGTCTTCAGTGTGCCATGTGTAGAGATGAAATGGCCAAAAAAAGTTTTAAAAAAAGTAACTGGTCGCCATCTATACTATACTGTGCAGCACTGAGCACTGACTCCACTGCACTGAGCACTGACTCTACTGCACTGAGCACTGACTCCACTGCACTGAGCACCCCGAATTGGACATTTTCGAGATTTTTTTGCTCAAATTACATGTACCACTTATTTTGCTCAAACTGGGCCATTTGAGAAATTGGGCCGAAATTTTTCACTTGTTTTTTACATGTAAAAAAGAGAAGAAAACACATGAGAACGAGCAGCAACTATCCACGACTGTAACAAGATCAATGGTAAACAGTCAGAAAGTGCGATAGTAGGGCACAAAACAAGGGCGTCGGAACCGCACCGGCCGGGGCGGCCATCGCCGCCCCACTTTTTCGGCCTTTTTTTAGCACTGCAACAAAGCGCGATGATCTCAGCGCAAACGTGGCAAATCCTTGTCCCCGATCGTCGTTTGTTGCAGAATCAAAAGTCCATGTACACTAAAATGGCACCAAATGCCTGGGAATGCTTGCAATTGGCTTCAATTTTTAATTTTTTTCCCGGGGGAGGGTAATGTTTGTCCCCAATCGTAGCATCTTCTTGGTTTTTTTGCAGAATCAGAAAGTCTTTCATTGTAGTTACCGTACACTGAAATGGCACCAAATCGCCCGGAAATGCTTGCAATCGGCTTCAATTTTTGAATTTTTTTCCCGGGGGACGACCCCCGCACCCCCCTTCCATGGCCGCCCCACCTCCAAAGTCGGTGTGACGCGCCTGCAAAACTGACAAGCTACTGAGACATTCAGCGACCTGAGACCTACATGTAGCTCCTGAGACACACCTCCAGTGCGTAAACCAACAGCCTTCCAACTTGGAAGGTTAGTGGAAGTTATTTTTTACAAATCAACTCCATCAAGTGTAAGATACTAGTAAAACCAAGAAAAGTGACTGTTCACTAAAGTTTTTTTATATTTCCGAAGACTGCGCAGACCAGCACATACACACCAGGCCTGGAGCCAGCTCTGGGGGGGGGTACGGCTGGCCCCAGGTCGGCTACAGGACCGACTATTTTCACTTGCCCAATTTCAAAATCCTGGGAGGATACATCATTCTCTAGCTCACGATACTGTATACTGTATCTGTTTGTTTCAGCTTCAGCACATAATCATAATAACGTCATTCCTCTAGGCTCTAGTATAGCAACAGATAATTATGACAGCTACATGTAGTGCAGTAGACTTCACTGGACAAGGAGAACAGTTGAGGAGATAGTGACTCCAGTGAGAAGTGCACGAGGATGCTAGTAGCTTCTTACCATCATTACTGGTACTAACTCGGATATTTGATTGCACACTGACCAGCCCATGAACGATGTGGAATTGGTGAAAACTGGTACGGCCATGGCCCTACCAGTTTTCACCAATTACGCCGGCGCTGCACACACGCACACACACTCGGACAACAGCACGCATCGGGGCCCGGAGGAGAGCCGACCAGGTTCTTTATCGCGTGTTGCAAAAGAAGGGCCCAGGGGCTGCCCGGGGTGTTAGCGGCCGTCGTGAGTTACTAGTAATAGTACATGTACCTTCGTCCTTCGGTACATGTAATTATAATTATACAATGTTTCGCCCTAGTGGCTGGCAGTTCATCAGCGAGGACACTGTGGTGGGTGGTGATGATAATATTATTGGTAATGGTTAAGACGACGTACCGGTATAAGAGAAAGCAGTCAAAGCAGTACAGTGACTGTGCTATTACCACGTCAGTCACCACGTTAGGAATTGTAGGCTTTTCATTTACATTGTTTCCATTTTTCATTCTATTCTCAATCTTTCTTTTCTTCATGCCAGGCGTGAGCCATCCCCTGGATTAACAAAATGGGTGCTATGGTAATAAAACTAAAATGAGAAAAAGAGAAAAAAATCACCACGTCAGTGCAATGTCATAATTACAGTACAATGTCATGTTTTTCGATTTTGACAGCATGTTACAAGGCGAGGACGCGTAGTGCTCCTGACTACAACCATAACCCGGTTGGCAGAGTCCCGGTCTTGCGACTTGTTGAACCGTATTGGGAAAACCCTGGGCCGGGTTATGGTTGTAGTCAGGAGCACTACGCGTCCTCGCCTTGTAACATGCTGTCAAAATCGAAAAACAAATTATGTTAAACTACCAAGCAAGGCTTCGGTGTGTAGTACAATGTCATGCACTGTAAAGTACATCATCATTACTTCAGTGCACGCTACAGTCATACGCAATGTGACAGAGTCGAACGAGCTGTATTCCCTGTGCCGAAAGGCGGGCTCACCACCCATGTTTGGCCCTGTATCATACAGGCTATATTATGGCAACTTCCCCATGTCTAACCCCCAACTGGCCCAAGACGAAGAGAATACTGTAGTAGTCATACATGTACTGGCCAAAGTTAAAAACAAACAAACAAACAAACAAAACACAATGATGATACACATCCTACATGTACATAGGTTTTTTATTTATTTTTTTTTTATGCTGCTGCCTTTATGACACACATGATGCTCCTACGACCTGAATGGTTATGGCCAATTATATGGGTTATACTTATACATGTACATACAGTCATAAGTCATTTTACACTCAGTACCACTCACATACACACACCTGTAGGCTGTAGCTAGGTGAAAGTAAGTTTAGCACTGTTCCGCACTGCAGTCATCCGCCTCTGCCTGGACTGGCTCCTGTCCTGAGTCCTGTCCGTTGTTCACTTCTTCTTCACTTGCTGGATGCTGTAGCTTTAGCGTTGCTGCTCGACTTTGATACATACTCAGTGGTCGTTGTCGTTGTGGTAACTTTCTTTACGACTGTAGTCTGCTGGGCCGCGGCGGCACTAGCAGTACTGGCATATTTGCTCACACTTCTGCCAGGGCTCTTCGCTGGAGCCGTTTTTTTGGCGTTCGCCTGGCCCTTAGGCTTAGGTGCCGAGTGCCCAGCCATGGCCGCCGCGGAAGCACCGGCTTTCTGGCCTCCTCGACCGCCGCCTCGTGAGATCCCCACGGCCGCTGCGGAAGCAAAAGCTTTCTGGCCTCCTCGACCACCGCCTCGTGAGATCCCAGCCACGGCCGCTGCGGAAGCTCCTCTACCTCGACCACCACCTCTTGACACTACTGCCGCGGCTGACGCCACTGTCAGGTGTCCCCGGCGGGCAACAGCTGCTGCAACTGCGGATGAACCGCCACGACCCCTTCCCGGTGCCATTGTCCTTTAGCTCGTGTTCTCTTGTGCAAGCACGGCAAATGGATAAACGGCTGCACTTCGACCGGCCTGATCGCTACCCAGTTGAACTGTTACCACTGGTCTGATCCGCCTGTAGCCGCCTGGTTCTACAATGAATGATTCGCAGAACTGGCTAACTCGGTGAGCGAGCGTGACGGTGAGGTTCAAGTTGAAGTCGGAGAGCACAAGACACAATCCAGAGATCGAAGCTCACCTGATCGGCATCAACAAGCTACTTGGACGCTACTGCTAGAGCCTAGTGCTGTTGCCTATTACGGCAGGTGAGCCAGAGTGTTGTAGCGACTTTAGCAGGCTGCAAGTGCAACAAAGAAAAACCCTGTTATGTGTGTTGTTGGCGCAGCGTGTTGACCAAATACTAGTAGTTCAAAGCTCAAACTCAAAGTAGCAGAGCCCAGGGCCGGAACAATTCGATGCGATCTTTGCTGCCGTTGACCAATGTGGCAATGATACTTTGAATATGAGCGGGAAGTTCGGATCGGGAGGCGATTGGCTTGCAGATCCTGTTGCTTAGTCACTGCCTCTAGCAGGCGCTAGGCAGGGTGCGAGAGAGAGAAGAACGGTTGGCATTTTGCCTTGGTCATCGAAACCCTTTCGATGTCCGCCGCACTGCCGGCCCCGGCCCGCAGGCCGCAGAGCACCGAAAAATCCCCTTTCTCAGTTTCTGTGTCGGTTGATACATACACTATGCTACAGCGTAGATGTACATGACTGTATTTTTGTAGTGAGTAGATCTACAAGTACAAGTACAAAGACCACTGTAGTCATGGTAGTACAGTGCACTACACTAGTCACTAGTACTACTGTCACTGTCTACGTCTAGAGTCTGCAGACTCCCTTTCAAAGTTGCAGTATCCGGTGACTCGGTGTGAGCTGAGGCTGTGACAGGCGAGAGAGGGTCACTGACCGCTAGCCACTGCCATGCCAGTGCACTAGTGTCGTGACTCGTGAGCTGAGCCCGACAAGCGATGACGTGACAGGACCGGACAGGTACATACTAGTATGTAGTACTGTATACCAGGTATACAGTCATGATGTAGTGTCCAAAACACCAGCGAGGCAGCGTACATACATGTTCACGCACAGCTACAGCCTACACTAAGCTACAGGTCCACCCTCGTAGATAATCTCTGGGCCATCCAAAAAGTTATCTTGTGAATGAAAAAGGAGACTTTAAAAAAAATATGTTGTGACAAGAGTTGCATTAATTAAAAGGTGAAATTGACACTAATTCTTACTGAACTGGGCTACCCTCAATACAACATACATTATCGAGGCTTCAAGGATACAGTACTCTCACCACACCAGCAGGCAGTCGCTCACCACACCAGGCAGTCGCTCATCACACCAGCAGGCAGTCGCTCACCACACCAGGCAGTCGCTCATCACACCAGCAGGCAGTCGCTCACCACACCAGCAGGCAGTCGCTCACCACACCACCAGGCAGTCGCTCTCCACACCAGCAGGCAGTCGCTCACCACACCAGCAGGCAGTCGCTCACCACACCAGCAGGCAGTCGCTCACCACACCAGCAGGCAGTCGCTCTCCACACCAGCAGGCAGTCGCTCTCCACACCAGCAGGCAGTCGCTCTCCACACCAGCAGGCAGTCGCTCTCCACACCAGCAGGCAGTCGCTCACCACACCAGCAGGCAGTCGCTCTCCACACCAGCAAGCAGTCGCTCTCCACACCAGCAGGCAGTCGCTCTCCACACCAGCAGGCAGTCGCTCTCCACACCAGCAGGCAGTCGCTCTCCACACCAGCAGGCAGTCGCTCTCCACACCAGCAGGCAGTCGCTCTCCACACCAGCAGGCAGTCGCTCTCCACACCAGCAGGCAAGTACTCTCTCCACACCAGCAGGCAAGTACTCTCACCACACCAGCAGGCAGTACTCTCACCACACCAGCAGGCAGTACTCTCACCACACCAGCAGGCAGTACTCTCACCACACCAGCAGGCAGTACTCTCACCACACCAGCAGGCAGTACTCTCACCACACCAGCAGGCAGTACTCTCACCACACCAGCACCACACCAGCAGGCAGTACTCTCACCACACCAGCAGGCAGTACTCTCACCACACCAGCAGGCAGTACTCTCACCACACCAGCAGGCAGTACTCTCACCACACCAGCAGGCAGTACTCTCACCACACCAGCACCACACCAGCAGGCAGTACTCTCACCACACCAGCAGGCAGTACTCTCACCACACCAGCAGGCAGTACTCTCACCACACCAGCAGGCAGTACTCTCACCACACCAGCAGGCAGTACTCTCACCACACCAGCAGGCAGTACTCTCACCACACTAGCAGGCAGTACTCTCACCACACCAGCAGGCAGTACTCTCACCACACCAGCAGGCAGTACTCTCACCACACCAGCAGGCAGTACTCTCACCACACCAGCAGGCAGTACTCTCACCACACCAGCAGGCAGTACTCTCACCACACCAGCAGGCAGTACTCTCACCACACCAGCAGGCAGTACTCTCACCACACCAGCAGGCAGTACTCTCACCACACCAGCAGGCAGTACTCTCACCACACCAGCAGGCAGTACTCTCACCACACCAGCAGGCAGTACTCTCACCACACCAGCAGGCAGTACTCTCACCACACCAGCAGGCAGTACTCTCACCACACCAGCAGGCAGTACTCTCACCACACCAGCAGGCAGTACTCTCACCACACCAGCAGGCAGTACTCTCACCACACCAGCAGGCAGTACTCATACCACACCAGCAGGCAGTACTCTCACCACACCAGCAGGCAGTACTCTCACCACACCAGCAGGCAGTACTCTCACCACACCAGCAGGCAGTACTCTCACCACACCATACAGTACTCTCACCACACCAGGCAGTACTCTCACCACACCAGGCAGTACTCTCACCACACCAGGCAGTACTCTCACCACACCAGGCAGTACTCTCACCACACCAGGCAGTACTCTCACCACACCACCAGGCAGTACTCTCACCACACCAGGCAGTACTCTCACCACACCAGGCAGTACTCTCACCACACCAGGCAGTACTCTCACCACACCAGGCAGTACTCTCACCACACCAGGCAGTACTCTCACCACACCAGGCAGTACTCTCACCACACCAGGCAGTACTCTCACCACACCAGGCAGTACTCTCACCACACCAGGCAGTACTCTCACCACACCAGGCAGTACTCTCACCACACCAGGCAGTACTCTCACCACACCAGGCAGTACTCTCACCACACCAGGCAGTACTCTCACCACACCAGGCAGTACTCTCACCACACCAGGCAGTACTCTCACCACACCAGGCAGTACTCTCACCACACCAGGCAGTACTCTCACCACACCAGGCAGTACTCTCACCACACCAGGCAGTACTCTCACCACACCAGGCAGTATTCTCACCACACCAGGCAGTACTCTCACCACACCAGGCAGTCGCTCACCACACCAGGCAGTACTCTCACGGCCACACCGTAGTCGGCAGTCGTAGGATCTCAGCAGTAGGTTTCCCCAAATCGGACCGGTTTTTCTTCGCCTATTCGGCTTTTCGCTTAGCTCAAAAAGACATCAGATTCGGCTGCAACATCGCCTGATTGTTCGAAAATCGGCTGCAAAATTAGAATATACCGGTATTGGAAATCGGCAAAAAGCCTCAAAATTGGTGAGATATTGAAAATACAGCTCTGCTAGATGGAACTGGCCACAACTGTGCGTTGTAGTGCAGTATTTTGCCAGTAACGATCTTCCTAATGGGTAATGTTTGTTTGAGAGGAGGTCAAAGGACCAGAGTCACATGACCTCAACACACCACAGTCAGACCTCGCATAACCGCACACATCCGTTTTCCACAAAAAACATAATATCCGGATAGGTGAGGGAAGCGGATAATCGAACACACATACTGTATGTATGCACTAGATATGCTGTAAATCGGTGACGAACGATTTTCTTACGGACGGCGAGGGATTCGGATAAAAGAAAAAGAGGACTGGAGAAGCGAGGTCTGGCTGTAGCACTACTGTACTGAAGTACTTAAGTTGACGTAGACAGCTCGAGCGGACGGAGCGGTCATGTTTCCAGCAACATCAATCATTCGTTCGTAAACGCACTTTGCAACAACATTTGGTAGATTTTCGGCGATTCTCAAAGGAACCCTCCATGATCGACGAAAAGCTTAGCGAGTTTCGATAAGTCTCGTTTTCGGCGAATTTTTCGGCTGGCCGATTTGGGGAAAGCCTACTATTAGTACTAAGCAGGGAGGTAAATACAACACATGACTCCCTGTCGGTGGGGGGGGGGGGGGGGGCAGACATGCAGGCGGCTGTGTGGCGTTGGATCCGTCTGCCTTGTTACTGCCCTACCAACACGGAGATGGCCTGCTTCAGAGGCTGGGCTGCTGCTGCCGCTGCCGCTGCACGCAGATTGGAAAGAGAAGTGACACCAGCACACCCGTGTAACCACTCCACTCTGTTCAACCGAAGGAAAGATATGGAGACTGGAGATTGCCGAAGAAAAATAGAAAGATGTGAAAAGTAGAGTCCGGAAGACAGGTGGGCGACACACACACACACACACACACACACACACACACACACACACACACGCATGTTAGAAGCAAGTGTATGTAAAACTGTGAAAACTTGACAGAGAATAACTCAAGCCGGCGAGTCAGTTTTGCTAACAAGTTCATCCTACAAATATCTAAACGTATAGAAATCATCAGCAAGGCAGACGCAGGGCAGGCGCGATGGCACGCGGGGTCCACCCCACCACAGCCAGCAGAAGCAACAGCAACGATAAACGGCTGTACAATTGGGTTCAGTCGGCCGTTCACTGCATGCAGGTCGTCTCAAAAATTGGCCAATCATCATCATAATCATCGGATTCCGTTAATAAAATAGTGTCATGTGATGTTAAGCCTCTCAGGGAGTGATCTGCAAACTCCGGTGACATAAGTAGCATCAGCACCAGCACCAGTGGTGCCTCTTCAACCAGGCAAGTCAGCAGCATAGGCGCCAGTCAAGCCTTTTCAAGCAGCAGAACCTCACACTCATTCCTCGCAGCCGTCGTCGGTGCTTGCACATGCCAATGCTACTATGAACAGCAACTGCACTCGTAGACTGCACTCGTAGACTGCACTCGTCCAATGCACAGTACGGATGACTAGAGTTCCGATGCGCTAAACGCAGTTCTGCACCGCTGTCCAAATTCTTGCACTCCAGCATGAACGGCAAACCCATGGCAATTCAAGAGTCAGTGAAACTAGATAATTTGACAGGCTGTGGTACTAGTAATGGTTGTTCTAAAGTGTTTCGATGCCAGTGTTACTTTTCCGCAGCGTCACTGTCACTGTCTGGAGGCAGTTCATGCTCGCGGAAACCAGCCTCTGACAAGAACGACTGGCGCTCGTGAAGGAACGTCTGATCCTCGTCAATGTGATCGCCCGTTTCTACAAACGTAGCAAACCTGCATATCAGCAGGCAACACACAGATAGACAGGTACTGGGTGGGCGGTGGTGAGGAGTACATGTACAGTCCATTCAGAAAAAAATGAACTTCTAGCTTTTGGCCATAAATGGGTCAAACGTTGAGTTTTTTTAGCATTTTTTTCTGCAATCCCATATGGAATCCTCTTCCAATTATGTTTCTGAAGTTTTTTTGTCCAAAAAGCAAGCCATAGCAAGAATAGGATTTCGGCCAGGTTTTGCCCCAAAAGCACTGAATTGGGAAAAACCATCAAAATCCAGGCCGTTTGACCCCGCCTGCAACAGTGCATTCTGCGGTTCGAACCCCAGTTCAGGCACCCTTTTTGGACCCTTTTTCAAATTTCAAAGTTCGCAGCACTGCACTGTGTACGATGAAATCACGAAAAATCGCCAAATACGGGAGCTCGCCAGAGCCAGGACCCATCTTTTTATGAATGGACTGTAGTTGAACTGGGGGGGGGGGGTACACACCCATCAGGCGCGTACTCGGCGATGGGCACGGGGGGCACGTGCACCCCCAAAAATTTTCAATCTGGGTAATTGCAATTGTAATGTATGCAAATATGCTCTAAAATTCAAGAAAGGTTGCAAACAAATTGCAGAAAATTGCCGGGGGGGGGGGCTCCCCTCGGCTCCCGTGCACCCCCCTAGTTGGGGGGCCGAGCACGCCCCTGCCCATGGCAGGGGAGACTGAGGTACTGGTGAAGTGCATAAGTGCACATCTCTATCCAGGGGATGTGGGGTACTGGTAAAGTGTGCAAGTAGTTGAATGGGGAGGGGGGGGGGAGGAGGGGGTACACCCCCATGGCAGGGGAGACTGAGGTACTGGTGAAGTGCATACATGTACATACTTGAATGGGGGGGGGGGGGGGGGCACATCCCTATCCAGGGGATATGGGGTACTGGTGAAGTGCGCAAGTAGTTGAAGGGGGGGGGGGGGGGAGCTTGTGTGGAGCTTGACTGCACAGCGTCAAGTACGAGATGGTGGGGCGCTCTGGCGGTACTTTACGGTACCAGGAGAGGGGAGGTACCTCAAATGGCTACACCCACAGCGATACTAATACCCCCCCCCCCCCCCTCACACACACGTGCACACACAATCCATACCCCCCCCCCCCCCCCCCCTACACACCCTCACACAAGCCCAACGCACCCACATGCATTCATGCACAACACCCCCCCCCCCCCCCCCTCCACACACATACTTCGTAGGGTCCTTGAGTCGTCGCATGACACGCCAGGGACTGGCACCAGGGCTGTTCATGAACTCGCGTAGTTCACGTAACGCTTTCTCAGTCTCCACCTGGCCCTGATCAATAAACTCCTGCTCGGTTAAGAGTTTACGCTGCTGTGGAAACCACACTGCCCTGCAGCAAGGACAAGAACAGGAAGATGAGCAAGCAGATATAAGAGTTTGTGAAGCATTGAGACAGACATGCACACACGTCCACATGCCCCCGCCACACACACACACGTCCACATGCCCCCGACACACACACACACACATGCACACACATGCACACACACACACACACGAAGACACACACACACATGAATACACACACACACACACATGCAGACACACACACCCATGTACATGCACAAAGAAACCACACTGCCTTGCAGCAAGGACAACAACAGAAATGAACAAGTAGACACAAGAGTTTGTGAAGCATTGAGACAGACAGACAGACATGCACACATTTCCACATACCCATCTCTGAAAAAAACAACCACGTGCTGACATTACACCATTCAACAGCACACCTGCCCACCCACCCACCCGTCCACATACATACAGACACCCCCCCCCCCACACACACACACACACACACACATATGTGCATGCACAAGGACAAACAGAAATACGCCGAGGTTGGCGCTGCGCAAATCAGCATGTAGAAAACGCTGGCTTTCAGCAAACATCATAACAGATGAATGGTGCTTCCGACGGAGGGCTCACCCAGACGCAACCATTTCTCAAATACCTTGGCGAAGACAAGCAACATTGCCACCACTACAAATATATGACTTTTATTGGCAGCTGGCCATCGTCAGAACAAGATTGATACGGACAAGGATAACAGCAGCAGCAGCAGCAAGAGAAACTCTGCAGCCGGTTTGAAAAGTCTGGACCACCAATCTCTCTCCCACGATTCAAACCGGCGCACTCTCTGACTGTTCTTTAGAGAGGTTTCGTTTCACGTTGTTCTGCACTACACCGTGAAATTTCACGTTGGTGTGGCAAATTTTGGCGTCGAAACTCCCGTTCATGACGTGAGCTGAGGTCAACTGACGTTCGACGTGAACGCGAGTTTTTGCAAATTTAGCCTTGCTATCAGGGTGGGATTATTGACTCGATTTTGTCGATTTTGCCTAAACTAGCTATAAATAATATTTGTGCGACTTTGGCTTTTTGGCGGGAATCCCGACTGCATGCGTAGCGATGGAACATGCCGGAGATCGAAAGGAAAGGAAAGTCACTTGGCTTGGCATCTCTGCTTTCTGATACAGGAGGAAGTAATTAGTTACTAGAAGTTGGCGAATTGCACGTCTTAGTTTCAGCGTAGCTCATTCCATCGCGATGTCTGCCAGTGTGAGTCCAGTATCTTCTGCCTCAAATCAGGAGTCCCCTGGAGCTGCTTCAAGTTCAAGTAGCTCTGGCCCAATCCGCTTCAAGACATGCCATAATCTTGAAATGTTTTTATTTGTGCTGGGGAAGACAACTATTTTCGAGCCGAGGATTGGAATGAAAGACTGGGGAGAGGCGGCTGACAGTCTGCGAAAGACTTTTCCGGAATTGAAAGGCTTGACTGGGAGGACCGTGTGGGATAGGACTCTGCGCGAGATAAAACAATTCAAAGCCAACGACAACAAAAGCAGAAGAAAAATTGGCGTGGAGGAGGACTTTCAGCAAAAGGATGGTCTTCTAGGCGAGCTAGCTTCGCGATTGGAAGCACAGATTGGCAGAATTTGGCCAGCCTCTGGTGTGTCAGCCAAGGATTGTTCAGACGGAATAGTAGACGACTCCAGCGGCCATAGATTAGCCTCACAGTCTCAATTAGCAACAAAGACAACACACTGACTGGTACATTAAAAAGTTGGTTGAGATCGACAAGTCGACCAGGGTAGGACAGGCGACGCAGCACCACTGCCAGAGCAAACTGGCCAGGAAAAGTACTCTTGTTCCGGAGAATGATCCTCTCAGGCGATTGAAGTGCTCTGAAAAGCCTCATGAAATGCCGTTTGCGGAATCTGAACAGTTTCCGAAAGGGCGCACCAACATGTTTTCCCTATCGGATCACAAAAAGTGAAAAAAGTGATTTTTGGTGAGCTTAGAATTTGAAAGTAGGTTGAAGTTTTGTTTCAGCAGGGGTTGAGAAGTGTTGTGAGGCTGCGCCGATGATGGATCAACACCAACAAGCTGTTTTTGTTGCTAATTGAGACTGTGAGGCTAATCTATGGCCGCTGGAGTCGTCTACTATTCCGTCTGAACAATCCTTGGCTGACACACCAGAGGCTGGCCGAATTCTGCCAATCTGTGCTTCCAATCACGAGAAGGAAAGAAATTTGTGATCCGATAGGGAAAACATGTTGGTGCGCCCTTTCCTTCTCACACCTTGTTGTTCCAGTTCAGCAAGGAGTAGTACAACAGCTGCTATCTCCTCATCGTCAAGGTCACCTAGTCCCACGGCAGCAACAAAAACAGCTTGTTGGTGTTGATCCATCATCGGCCCGGCCTCACAACACTTCTCAACCCCTACTGAAACAAAACTTCAAAATACTTTCAAATTCGAAGCTCACCAAAAATCACTTTTTTCACTTTTTGAAGTTTTCGCTCCTGTCGTCAGCGAAACGACGTGCTTCACAAGCAACGCGAAACGAAAGCTCTTTCTGAGCTTGCGTCAACGCAAAAAATTGACGTTCACGTAAGAGCACAAATCACGCGGGTAGAAACCTCTCTATTATCTAATTCAAACTTTGTGGGAGATTTTCGATAAATTTCTCCGCACCGTCCCTGAGACAAGTTTTGTCCTCAAACACTGTCCATAATTATACTGTACAAGCAGAAATATTCGTCTGGAATTTAATTTCGTCATTTTCGTCCGAGGAGCTGTTGGACTAAATTAAATGCCGGACTAACGTCGATTTGTCCAGCTTTTCAATACACTCTTATGATCCATGGACGAAATTTTCAACCGGACAAACTCCCTTTCTTTGGAGTTGGACGAAATTATTGACCGACGACATTTTCTGCCTCTACAGTACCGTGCCAAGTGACGGGATAACAAACACCGTATTTCGAATTTTTCTTCACAAACTAATCACAGATTTCAAGTGCTGGAGAAGCGGGAATAATGCTATTCTCCTTTTTTTCTTTTTCCCCCGAACAATGGTCCATACTTTTTATTCACAGACTTCTATACGAGACAGGCTGTTTAAAATACAGTAAAACCTGGTTTAAGCGACCACCCCACGGTGCAAGCAAAAGCGGTCGTTAAAGCCAGGTGGTCTTTAGAACCAGGTCCCAGTCTGTGTAGACCTGTCGGTGCATGGAAAAACGGTGGTTAAGAGCAGGTGGTCGCTAAACCCAGAGGTCGCTTACACCAGCTAGGTTTCCTGTACAAGACGCTATGGTAATAATAGATTTCCCTCACGTGAGAATACCGATTTCCAACGTACCACTTATACGTGAGCCAGCGGAGTACAAAGCCGGGGACCAGATTATCGAGCCAGTAGACAGTCAGGACGAGTACGAGCAGAGAGAACGATATGATGTGTGACTGAGTACCGTGGTACATGCACACTAGAGATATAGCTTGGATGAAGACCTGGATGAGCTTGAGACTGCGGTGATTCGTCGGTGGACCCTGTCGTACGACGTATAGAAATAGAGGGTGACAGACACGATGCACGTGGACATACACACACCCACAGCAGCATGTACGGACAGACAAGCGAGCGCGACAACACATACAAACAGACACACGGGAACAACGACACGCGTGGACAGACACGCAAGCAGAACGGCGAGCATACGCAGACACACGTGTGATACGGAGTTACATAGCTGGAGTTGCACACTCTTGGGGCTATGCACTCTTGATGATATTAGCCGCAACGTACTGCCACTGACACCACAGTTATAAGACAGCGGAAGAATGACGGCACTGGAAGAAAACACCGTCATATGAACTTTCCGTAATACATGCCTTCTGCGAGCTCCAGAGCATAAATACAGACTATTCATTGTACGGCTTATACAGTCCTACTCGGGGCATCCGGACAATTTTGGGCGAGATATTTTGAAGGTCTGTTCCAGCAACCAATGGCGTTCTGATAATCGAAATCATCTTTATAATTATTCACAGAGTGATGTCCAAATTGCTCCCAATTGCTGCACCTTTTCAGTGTGTACTGTATCGTGGGAGTATAAGCCGCACTTTGAACACTCAACATTCATTTTAGGGTGAAAAGTAAAGTAAAGTTAGCCGGATTACCGGCCGCATCACCTGACGACGTGTTGACGAACACATCAAGCAAGTACATTGGCATCGGCGGGCCACCACTTCGCCCATATATCCTTAGTGTCGAATGCAGACCTCACAAGTGAGTCAGGGAAGAGGGGATAATTCTCTCAACAAGCGAGCGTGTAAAGGCCCTATAACCCCATAAACCGCATCCTTGTTACCCTCACATCGAGCAAGTTCACCGTGGGTGTCGGCACAGTTCATTGCATGTAAAGTGGTACTCACCCGCATCACCGCGATTGAGAGCACTAAACACACTCCCTGTTACCAGCGCAGGCTTTGAACTCGGAATCTCATGATTCTCTGGCAAACCTACAAACCAATCGGCTATACGCGTTGGTTGGTTTTAGGGTGAACTTCCCCTTTAAGTGAAGAGTGTGAGTGCTGTAACAAATTCTTTTTTTTGTGCATAAATCTGGATTACGAGGTCGGATAAACATGGCGTATAATACGGAGAGTAGACGGAAACTACTAGCATAGCACACCACACTGAAGCATGAATCATCATACAACACTGGTTTAACACTTTGCAGTCCAGCTATCAGTCCAACTCTCAGTGTGATGACGATTTCTGATGATTATTACAAGAACACGACGTTCAAATCATAAAATATTGCTCCATTGTTCTTGTGGTATGAGTTCGCTCACTATAATTCTTTCGATATCAGGTTTCTTGTCTCCACGCCGACTTTTTAATCATTCTCTCGGAACAATATGTTCAAAAATGTTTTGTGCTTGTGAGGAACTAGCTCTGGATACTCAAAGTACACACGTGGCCCTTTCCGCATACTAGCATGAATATATCTAGAGTTTTAGTACCTGAACTCAGTGACAGCTAGGTAGCAACTAACCTTCCAATAAAAATATGCCCCGCTGATGACAGCGGATACTGCAACATATCCATAAATATAATATTGATAGTTGACTACGATGTCGCGGGCGTTCTCGGCAACGTAGCGAAAGAAGTAGGCCGACGCAGCCCATCCACTAAACAGAACTGTGTACATTGCTCCACGCTGTAGAGAGAGAGAGAGAGAGAGAGAGAGAGAGAGAGAGAGAGAGAGAGAGAGAGAGAGAGAGAGAGAGAGAGAGAGAGAGAGAGAGAGAGAGAGAGAGAGAGAGAGAGAGAGAGAGAGAGAGAGAGAGAGAGAGGCAGAAAAGGAATATTCCGCAAAAATAAACTAACAGGCAACAGTTTCCTGCTTTAGAAAATACTTGTTCGCTTCCAGCCCTGTATACTGTAAATATACCAAATTTCGGCACTTCACGATTTTTGACATTTCGGCGGCGATTTATTTTCGGCGTGGGGTAGAGGGCATGGTATAGTGCGACAGATGCTGTGAAAAATTTCACCGGCGTTTTGGGTCGGTGCCGAATATAGCCGAAATTAAATAGCTGCCGAAAATTTGTATATTTAGGCAAGATCAAAATAAAATCGAGATTCCCGGGCAGGACCCATCTGAAATTGGTGGGGGCGGGCGAATTTTTATTTTATATTTTACATGTTTTTCCTATGTGTGTATGCATGGCATGCTGAACTTTTTTTACAGTATTTTGCGGTATTTATTTTTTATTTTTTACAGACGACAGGTACATGGTACGTGGTTTACCCGTACCCGTACACTTTCTTTTGTATTTCGGCCAACGACAGCCCTGAGTCGTACACCAGGGAGGCGTACAAGCCCAGGTTTGTGTGACACCATGTCACAGATCTACTCGCACGATCAGTACTGTGCATAATACGAACTGTTAAAAAAAAAATTGCCCTCGGCTCCATTTTGGTGCGGGAGCAGGGCATGCGCTAAGGATTAAGATGTGCTCTGACACAATGTCCTGCCAGTTCCAAAAATGGCCGGACATGTCCGGACATGCAAATTTTCACATCAAATCACACAATGTTTACTTCAGTGTATAATTAATACCATCGAAATGTTATCACGACGTGAAAAGAGCATTATTACAATTGTTGTAGTTACTGTTTTACCACTGCAAGCTATGAGCACATAGTTAACGAGATTAGTTCAATGTTAACACATAATTTACAAAATTAGGCAAGCTATTCAACAGGCGATCTGCTGCCCTTGAGTGATGTGGAAAGCGCCACATTGCATGGCTCAGAAGCAATTACTGATAGGCAACTTCAAGGTTCAGCTGATCAAAAGCCACGCCACACCAAAAGGTAAGATTTGAGTATCCAGAAGCTTCAGCTACATTAACCCTTTGGAACTGCACTGATCATACGACGTCGGGAGATAGCTGCAATTGCAAGTATATTCGTTCCAATTTCCATCATAACGCTGGTTCTACTTCACCGATTTTGACGATCCTGGGCTCGTTGGAAAGCTCTTGGAACGAGGATAACAGCGAGCCCAAACTCATTCAGGAGAGCGATTGCTGTCTGCTACTGAATGCCAGGAACGCCAGCTGAATACCAAATCCAAACGGGAATAGTCCTTGTCTCGCCATTTCACTCGTGCTAGCTCAAAATCATTCAAATTTTTTCTAACAGACTCACAAAAGCCGTGACAAAAAGCGCTGGGAGTGATGTCACACGCTGCGTAGGCAGGAAGAGGGAAAATCCCACTTTTGAACGAAATTTGCACTTCGCTGACGCATGAGAAATCGAGCGAACGTTCGAGCACTTGCCGCTCTGTTATACTAGCTCGTATCGACCCCGGAGTTTTTCGAGCCGACAGCTTAGAATCTCTGCTACCTCGTAGGTATTTCGATTGTTGAATTCGGTTGAGATTTGACTGAGTTGTGACTCGTTGCGTGCACTTGCACACATGACATTGGCATCGTTCGAATTCGAACGATCACCTCCAAAGGGTTAATAACATAAATGTCGTACGAAAGGAGATACAAGCAGACGCATGAAAAATGCCATTAGCATAGGAATCAATGACAAGTCCATGTTTAGCAGAGCAGCAGAGCACAGACTGAGTACTGACTTCGAGTCAGGCTAGTGGTCGCTGATGAAGTTGTCCCACTCGTCTAGGTCCAGAGGAGCAGCTTCTTCAGGTAAGGCTATTTCACTAGCAGCACAGGCAGTGGCACGATTAGTTTCATGGACAGTGCGCCGGCACTTGTCGTTCCACCAGAGGGAGACCGCGGCGGTCGGGTTCCAATCTGCTGCTGGTGGTCCGTCAACTGCAATTCGAAGAAGCGCATCAAGTCTCTCCTCAGACAGACTACACCGGCGCTCAGACTTGATGTGTTTCAAAGTTGAGAAAATCCTCTCCACCTTTCCGTTGGACAGGGGCAAGCAGAAAAGGAGCTCGACGACTTTCAGGATATTCTGCCAGCGAGATGACTCTGCGACATTGAAGAGTTTCCACCAGACGGACGTGTGGCAATCTGTCAGGTTAAGGTAGCGATGGGCATAATCAGTGAGGTCAAGCCATTCACTATCCAAGGCAGAAATGTCAACACCAGCAGCTTCTAGAGGCTTACGGAACATCATAACCAGCCGTTCAATGGAGTCATCTCCAAAGGGCTCTCCGTGGTGTTTGGCCCAGCTGTGCGTGGCAAGAACGACAAGTGCATCAGAAAACAGTTGGCGGTGCTCATCTGAGATACGGGAGCTCAAGCACCTGATGACGGAAGAGGTGAGATCAGCTTGAACAGCCTTGACTCGCTCCATTCCCTGCTGACACGCTGTGATCTCTACGCCCTGGTACATAGACTTTTCCGTATCCTCATCCTCCGTAACTCTCGAAGTTATCTTCCTCACAGTTGGGAGATCTTCAAACTGGGAAGACTGTACGGCTTCAAGGGACCTATTCACTCTCAGTAGCGCCTCGATGGTTGAGATGATGGATACTTCATCTGATTGCAGGGCTTTACACAGGGCTGATACTGGTGTCAAAAGGTCGAGGAAAAAGGCACAGCTGTACAGTATCTTGCCAGAAGACCACTGCCTGACATAGCCTCGCAGTTTGGCCTTGTCTGTTGACTTGACTGCCGGGTCGTCAATCAATTTGCACAAGTGTGTGATGTAAACTCCTAGACGATCCAGCACCCTCTTCAAAGCAGCAACCTTGTGGCCCACGAATCTGGTTCCACACGCTCTCAGTGGTCTGTGTCCACCATTGGAACTGGATAGAACATCAGTTGACTCATCAGCATCCAGACCTTCACGAAGAGACTGCACTACATCAGCCAGCTCTCGACATTTCTTGCTTGAATTTTCATAAAGGTAATACAATCTCAGCAGCAGCTCATCTACTGCATCAAAGATCGTACCTTTCAGTGCATCTTTCAGGGCCAGCTCCAGTCTGTGGGCCACACACCAAACTGGTACAATCCATGGAACTGCATCAGCAAGCTTGCCCCTCAATCCATTTCTCGCCATGTTCACAGCCGCACCGTCGCAGCCTAGTCCGATCAGCTTTGACTTCCAGTCAAGTTCCGCCAGTGTCATCGCACGTTCCAGGCATGCCATCAGTCCATTAGCATCGACAGCAGCAGGTTGCAATACACCGACAAACTCACTTCGCACATGAATTCGTCCGTCTTTAGCCGTGGTGTCACAGTACAAAGCTACGAATAATTCTTCTTCAAGATTCCCAGCGTCGTTGCTGCCATCCGTTTGGATACTGAAGAACTTGTTCTCCAAATGCGACTTCAGCTGCTGCTTCAGCGAGAGTCCGATGTAACTGCAGAACAATGCGCAGGCTTTCTCGTTTTTATGTCCACTGCCTAAATCAACGCCATGACGCGCCTCAAGCTGGCAGAGCGATTCCATCTTCGCGAAAGCCATATGCTCTTTACATATCAGGTAAGCAATTTCAAACTTACGTCCGACCTTGGCTGCTGCTGCGTCGTCAAGTGTGCACAAGGCTCGAGCGATTGGCGCATACTCAATCGGGTTTCCGCTTGACTGCTCCTTGGCAAACAATGCCATGGCACGGCGATGCATTTCAGAACCAGCATGGTCTTTGAAGGCTGACGTTTTCAGGTTCCTTGAGCCAACAACGAAGGAGTCAGAAAAATTCTTGCTGCTGCGAATTTTATCAACAAAACGTGAACACATCTTACACTTCAAATATTCGACAACGCTACGATCTGAGGGACTGCGCTCATATCTCAGCCAAACAGAAGTTGAAAGCTCCCTATCATACTCGGCGACCCACTTGTCACAAGTGGTCGTCTTGAGTCCTCTGGGCTTCTTTCCAACAGGAGCACCCGCATCAGCGGTGCTTGGCTTTCTCTTGCCAGACGACATCACTAATGACTGTGAGGCAAAGGATTGACGTGCCTTTTCTTTTTTGTACTTTGCATAAAAAGTGCGCGGACACTTTGTCCGGATGTGTACAAAACATCCGGACACTGACCGTAAACGGTCGGAAATTGTCCGATGTCCGACCGTTATTTCGCGCCCTGGGGAGGGCCCGGGAATCTCTATTTTTTTGGTCTCGCCTTCCCCCCCCCCCCCCCCCCCCAAGCCGTTTTGCTTCCCAGCTGGTTTTTCGGGAGGGGGCAGGAATTAGATCAAGTCGTTCAAGTGCAGTACGATGTACAACAGAGCAGAAGATCAGACCTGGCATGCTGGATTGTGCACATTTTCATCCTGCACTCACACGTATTGTGTACAGCAGTACATGCGTCGGATCAACAGCGTATTTCGCTGTATACGCCGACGTCGCTTCACAGGCAGAAATTCGACAGGGGCGGGAACTAGAGCGGGGGCAGACCAACGGTAGTTTACGGTACTGTCGAGTATCATCACAGACAGCCACACACACACAACCACAACCACACGCACAGCCACACACCTCCACCATTGAACACACGCGCAACGCACGTCATCAAAAAATGCATAAGAAGACAGGTTGAGTAGAGTGAAGCTTACGGTAGGTACAAACCGACTGATGATAAAGACTAGGACAAGCAGAAATGCCAGAATGCCAATGGACGTGGACGACGCGTAGTAGAAAGCAACATTTCTGCAGGCAAGAGAATAACACAGAGACGCACATGAGCACACCCACCCACACACTCTCCGTCTCTCTCCCTCTGTCTGTCTCCTAACACCCCCCCCCCCCTCCCCTTCGACAGCACTGGACCCTTGTGACAGCTGACCTAGAGTGCTGCCCGGTGCAGAAGAACAAACGTGCTCGGATTTCACCTAGTGTACAGTGGTACAGTGGTATGTACACGCTGGATCTACTTGTATGTCACATCGACAGCAGCACATGACAATAAGAACGGTCTAGACCAGGATCCGATGCTGATCCCCCTCCCCTCCTACCCGGCTTCTTCAGCAACCGGCAGTAAGATACTGGACAAGACAAGACAAGGCGTGTGTGTGTGTTTGTGTGTGTGTGTGTGTGTGTGTGTGCGTCGGAGGATATCTGTACTGTGGAATAGTGCCAAGTCAGTTAGATAAGCCTCGTTGCCAGGCAAAGTAGACAACAGTGGCAGCAGCAACTGCAGCAACAACAACAACAGGCTAGAACGACTCCAGCGGAAAGCCGCCAGAATATGTCTCCACCTTCCCCTTTACACACACTTAGAACACTCCCACCTTTTGCATCGCATCAAATGGCCAACATTATTTTCATGCTTTAAAGTTAAACATATACTCTTCGCGCATTCTCTGTGCCATAATTATGCCCCACCACATACACTCTCGCTGCATACTGCTAGCAACGCGCAACCTTCGTATAATTTACGTCGCTCTCGTACTTGGTACTTGCCAACTCCGAGGACTGATCGCTGTCTCCATTCTCCCCTGTACAAGGCCCTTCATTTAAAATACTTTAATTGCTTGCCCACCCAGCTTCGCAAAATCCCTTCTCGTACTCTCTTCAAATCCCAGATATCCCTGCTGTTGCACAACTCTGTATGCTCGTGTAGCGACCACCCCTGCCCGTACACGTAAGTAGTCATTAACCCCTAGGCTCTGCCCACCCAATTCTTCCTCACTCTTTCTCCTTTCTTTCACTATTATCTCTCATTGGCCACTGGCTATCGTGAGAATAAAGATTTGAAACAACAACAACAGCAGCAACAACAACAACAACAACAGCAGCAGCAGCAGCAGCAGCAGCAGCAATACTGTAAGTCTACAAAAATTCGGCGCGTTTAAATTTCGGCCTCCCAGGGATAAAACACGTTTCGGTCGCAACGCAATTTCGCCCTGTACTGCTCCACTGCCACACTGAACCTTGCACAACGAAATTTAGGCCGCAACACATTTTCGGCAAAAATGTCCAGGCCGAAAGTAGCCGAAAATAAATATGCGCCGAATAATTGTAGATTTACAGCAGCAAACGCAGCAGCAAAAGCATCAGCATCAGCATCAGCAGCATCAGCAACAACAGCAGCAGCAGCATCAGCAGCATCAGCAACAACAGCAGCAGCAGCAGCAGCATCAGCAGTAGCATCAGCAACAACAGCAGCAGTAGCATCAGTAGCAGCTAGACGTGATCAGATACATGTACTCACTGACTGAGAGTGGGTGCAGCGAAAAAGAGTACCAAACCGACCAACAGGAAAGCCGGGAAGCGGAAGAAAATACCTGCACACACGCACGCAAACACACACACACACAGACACACATGCAAACACACACACACACACGCACGCAAACACACACGCACACACACACCTTTTGACGCCCATCGCCGGAGGCGATGATAGCAATGCTACGGCAGAAGCCATAGCAACTTGTGCTGGGATTGCACCATTCAACAGCTTGCAAGGCTGAAGAATTGACCATCACTATTCAGCCTGGTCTACACCATACAGCTATCCACAAAGTCACACACACACACACACACACACACACACATATATCAGCGGCAAAACTGGTGGCGTTTCTGGTTGGCTGACATAGGAATGAAACGAGAAGTTAGGGGTCGTCCGTATTTTTCGAAAAATTAAAAAATCCGTCCTCAGGCAAAAAGGGGGTGGGTGGTCAAGAGTGCTGGCGGAATTTAATTTTTTGATTTTTCGTACTTTTTTTTTTTTTTTTTTTTTTTTTTTTTCGCCAGTGACTTTCATACACTTGTTGCACTGATACAAGTATATAGCTGACTGTGTATACTGTACTGTAGACGTACAATTTTTTTGTAGTGTAGGATCGATTGTCGCAAACACCAGTATCTACTATGATACATGACTTTTCATGTAGTTGTAGGACGGTGCATGCATGGCCGTGACGTCGGTAGACCTACTACTCACTGTACTTAGCTATGCTGTAGTACTACTACTAACACAGGTGCAGTCAGAAAACGTGGGGTCAGGAGTTCTTATTTTCGAGCTGGGCATCGGTAAAAATCAAAAAATTAATGGGAAAAATTGGGGGGTGGGTGGGTGGGTCAGAGACAATTTTGCACGAGGACGGATTTTTTAATTTTTCGAAAATTACGGACGACCCCTTATGTTCCTTTACGAAAATAACAAACTGTGGTAAGATGCTGGTGCGAACGCTTATGACAGCGACACTATCGACGGTAGCATTCACAGCACCATCAACACCCACAGCACCAAAACCAACAGTAGCCATGGAAACAACCATTTCGTCACGGCTGTGTGTGTACGTATGACATCACAATGACATCGTGCAAACGGTCCATTCAAATCCTCACAACAGCATTCACAGCGGCAGCGGCTTACGTGTAGTTTTGATTTCAAGCAAATAGTGTGTGTCTGGTGAGCGGAATGAAATACCCCAGCAGCTGACACCGTACGGAGACACGTCGACGTACTGCTCGTGCCAGGGCCACTGAAAACAGAAGAATAGCACAAACATACACACACACACACACATATACACGTACACATACACATCCACACACAACCATACACATATACACATACGTACACACGCAGACATAAGGAACAGGTCAACCCAGTCAGCATGCCTATACAGACACATTCGTTTCATGCCGGGCTTTGCCGTCGGCGTTTCGGCTGTCAGACTGGGGCTAGTTCAACAGAAAACACGAGCATCCTATCGGCACATACTGCAAGACAGCCAATTTTAGCGCCAGTGATATTGTAGCGATTTTAGCAAAAGGAGTATTTTCGCTAAAGGGTTTGCTGCACCAATCACAATAGACCGATCCCCTTATTATACTGGGTTCGAGCACGGGGGCAACCTCACTCGCGATCGAGCTAGGTTTTGAACGTGACAGCATCTTTGACCGTGTGTAGGGATATCAGCGAACGCACTGCGCAGCCCATCTGCGCAGGTCAGCCTGGCCCATCTACGCGCGGCCGACAAAAAAACTCGTGAACCCTTTCATTTTTTTGCAACATAAATCGTGCGAAGAAGATGCACGGAATGGCTGAAAACTAGGCTGAGGAAAAGTAGCATCCAGAGACTCTCAAACAAATTCAGGGCCCATCGCTTCTGACAATGGCAGCGAAGACATCAGGGAGCTGATTGCAGCAACTCTCTACCAAGCGCGACGCTGGTTACTCACCAGGGCAGGGCGCTTCCATCGCGCAAGAAATGGCCGCGAGCGAGAAATGCAAGTCCGATTTTGGAACGATCCAACCAGGGTAATCCCTTGAAAATTGGCCTGAACACCTCTCATACTGGTGTTTCACGATGTGCAAACTTTCAGAGAAATCGACCGGGGAGAACGTGGTGAGCTCGTGGGTCCTCCTGTATCGCGTATGATTAGAATGGTCGCGGGGACAGAAGAACAGTAATTTTACGACTCCCAGCGGTGCAAACAGACCGCGGCCATGTTTTCTCTGTCGGCCGCGATCACGTTCAAAAAATCGATGACGCAATGCATGCGCAGAGGCCTGCGCAGTGCGTTCGCTGACATCCCTATTGTGTGTTTTCAGGTTTGTTTTGGAATATCTGTTGCTTAGTTCAAGTGGTTTACGATGGCTTCGAGCGGTGCTGAACCTCCTGCTGGTAGGAGCAGAGTCTCCGAGAGAGACATGGACTCTGATGCAGCTGCTGGATTTTTTGAAGGCGCGGGATGGAAAGATCTCGGGCCACAAACAGGAGTTACTCCAGGGGTGAGTTTTGTTGTTGTTGAAGTATTCAAGTCGCGAATCGTGTTGTGAGACTTATTTTGTGCCTAGGCTACAGCAGACCGTATTCCTTTCTCCTTGAGATCGGTGCTGAAGATTATAGTAACCTTTTCTGGTCTGCATTTTCCTCTCCAGAGCCATCTTCTATGAAGGTAACCGTGGTGCTGCCAAGTCACCAAATCATGATCGCGATCAGCAGCCCTGAAGTGGAAAATCGAGTTTCCAACGGTCTGGTTGGACACCAGCCACTAAAGTACTTCTGATTTGCCTGTAGTGACAACAGCAGCCATCCTTGGACACCTTGCAAAGACAGGAGAAGCCACTGGTGGAAGCGACTGCTATGAGGTGACTATAGCAGTGGTGATCGCTGTTTCATCAAGTCGAAGGGCTAGCCAACCCAGAGGAAGCATTCCAAAAAAATGATGAGCAGTATGTGGTATTTGTTGAGCGTGAAGAGCTAGAGGAGGACAGTGTTGGTTCCGAAGAAGAACGGTTCCTTGCGACTTTGCGTTGACTATCGTAAGTTAAACGGTGTCACGAAACCGGATGCCTATCCGATTCCACGGGTGGATGACATGCTCGATTCGCTGTCTGGCTGTAAGTGGTTTTCGTCGCTCTATCTCGTGTCTGGATATTGGCAGATTGCGATGGATCCTGACGACCAAGCGAAGACCGCGTTTACCACACCATTGGGCCTGTATGAGTTTACGGTGCTGCCGATGGGGTGCAGGAATGGTCCTGCCACCTTCCAGAGAGTTATGGAAGCTGTTCTTCGTGGGCTCTGCAATGCTGCTGCTCAACCATTTTGCCGTGTCTTCTTCGATGATGTTAAATGAGAGCGAAACATTGTCAGGCCAAGTTTTAATTTTGTCGCGGGTGTTTGAGCGTGTGCGGTCAGCAGGCCTGCGTTTCAACTTAGCGAAAAGTTCCTTTTTCCGGTCGGATGTCGCGTTCCTCGGACACCGCGTGTCGGCAGACGGAATTGCCCCCGATCCGGACAAGGTTTCCGCGATACTTGCGTGGAAGACGCCGAAGTCTGTCACTGCGGTCAGGTCGTTCCTTGGTTTCGCGGGATATTACCGTCGATTCATCCGTGCAGCGGTCAGCCCCACTGACGGCTCTCACTGGCAAGAATGCGCAATTTGTTTGGACGAAAGCTTGCGACGCTTCCTTCCGAGCGCTGAAGTCTGTGCTATCGAGTGCTCCGGTTATGGCATTCCCGGACTTCGGACCAGATGCCGGTACCTTCCTTCTGGACACATATGCCTCTAAAGTGTCCATTGGTGGTGTCCTAAGCCAGGTACAGGACCAGGTGGAACGCCCCATTGCGTTTGGTGGCCGCATAATGACGAAAGCTGAGCGAAACTATGACGCCAGTGATCGCGAAGCCCTGGCCCTTGTTTTCTTCGCTAACCACTTCCGTGCAAACACATGGAAGGAGTGCATGGTGTTTGAAGAACATTGTGCCGGCTGGTGGTGATGGTGGTCTTTGTCAGCATGTACTCGTGCAGCCTCAAAGCATGCACAGTACACAACCAGAGCAGCCTCAAAGCATGCACAGTATAGCTAGTACACAACCACAGCAGCCTCAAAGCATGCAGAGTACACAACCACAGCAGCCTCAAAGCATGCACAGTGCACAACCACAGCAGCCTCAAAGCATGCACAGTACACAACCACAGCAGCCTCAAAGCATGCACAGTACACAACCACAGCAGCTTCAAAGCATGCACAGTGCACAACCACAGCAGCCTCAAAGCATGCACAGTACACAACCACAGCAGCCTCAAAACATGCACAGTACACAACAACAGCAGCCTCAAAGCATGCACAGTACACAACCACAGCAGCCTCAAAACATGCACAGTGCACAACCACAGCAGCCTCAAAGCATGCAGAGTACACAACCACAGCAGCCTTAAAGCATGCACAGTACACAACCACAGCAGCCTCAAAGCATGCACAGTACACAACCACAGCAGCCTCAAAGCATGCACAGTGCACAACCACAGCAGCCTCAAAGCATGCACAGTACACAACCACAGCAGCCTTAAAGCATGCACAGTGCACAACCACAGCAGCCTCAAAGCATGCACAGTACACAACAACAGCAGCCTCAAAGCATGCACAGTATAGCTAGTACACAACCACAGCAGCCTCAAAGCATGCACAGTACACAACCACAGCAGCATCAAAGCATGCACAGTACACAACCACAGCAGCCTCAAAGCATGCACAGTACACAACAACAGCAGCCTCAAAGCATGCACAGTATAGCTAGTACACAACCACAGCAGCCTCAAAGCATGCACAGTACACAACCACAGCAGCCTCAAAGCATGCACAGTACACAACCACAGCAGCCTCAAAGCATGCACAGTACACAACCACAGCAGACCCAGAGCATGCACAGTGCTTGCATGCTTTGCTGGGTCCCAGCACGGCACCCCAGGATAGAGCTGATGATGACACTCTACCCCGAGTAGAGTGGTTTCCGGTAACAGTTGCTGAGGAAACTCAGCCCCCCCCCCCCCCTCCCGGGAGGTACTCTGCGTGCTAAATTGAATCGCAGGCGTCGGCAAGCGTTGGCACGGCAGTACAGCACTGTCGGTCGCCGAAGAACTGGGGGGGGGGGGGGGGGGGGGGGGGTCAGCCTCCTAGCCTAGACCGTTCCTATTTTCATGTATTACAGTCTATGCACAGTTGAGTCACCGTGTATACATTGGTGTGCTGTGCTTGATGAAATTTTAGCCTGGCCATTCTTCGGTGCTCGCCAGTACTGCAGACATACAAGTGTACATGTACTGCACATACAAACCACTGTACGTCCAAGTTTAAATTATTATTAGTAATTCATTCAATACAGTAAAACCTGTCAAGGTGACCACTCGCATAAGGTGACCACTCGCATAAGGCGACCACCTGTCCTAGAAGACCACTGAACTCAGGACCAAGGGATGCTATTTCCAGTCAAATGACCCCAGTGGATAAGGCGACCACCTGTACACAGAGACCACGTTTTGATGGTCCCTCGAGCGGTCGCCTTGGTAGGGACTTCAATTGAAAAACCAAATTCGCGAGTTTCACATAAAACACTAGTTTTTCTAAACCTGGAAGATGTGAGAAACAACTTGTGAAAATTTGAATCCAAAATTCCAAGGCAATCTAGAGCTATAGTCGATTGAAGATCGGAAAACGGGGGAGAAAATAGTCACAGAAGTAAATGCAAGTATGCATGTGACCCGTGTGGTTTCCGTCCAGCACTGCACTATCTGGTGCATACATGGCGATACAGGATGTGTGCATGCATGCCATGCGCGCCTACTTGCACAAGTCACACGTTTTCCCCGTCACTGCTTCTACAGTGTGCGCGCAGTTCACTCGATTTTTTTCGTCTACCACCAGGAAAACGCCGTGGGCTGGTTTCTGTGATCATTTTTTTTCCTTCTACCACGATAAAGCGCGAGCCTCAATATTCTAGAATCCTCTTGGTTTAGGCTAATTCGAGGCCGCTGAACACAAAAATCGGGTGTTCCTCGCGGGGCCGAATACGGATCTGGTCGAAATCAGTACTTCGAAGTGCATCCGTGCCAAGCGCGGAGGCATTATTTTTGGAAGCATGGCATGTGTTGCACCATTGGAAAGGTAATGACCTCAGCTACCTAAAAATAGCATCGACAAGGCTGAAAAGGCCGCGGAAGAAGATACTTGGGCCTCGAACTGCATCTCAAACTGCAGCCACGAGGCGCCCATTCACTTTGCACAGGCGAGCTGTGACTGCATTTTTCGCTTTTCAGCGACCGGAACTGAACTCCCTACCTAGCCTTAGACAGGTTTCACTGTATTATTGTGAGGGTTGAGCCAAAGGCAATGGTACCTAAATCAGGGGTGTCTAAATCAGGGGTGTCTAAATCAGGGGGTGTCTAAATCAGGGGGTGTCTCCGGACCAAACACACAGCAAACAGCTCAGCCAAAAGAATACGACAGGAAAAAATGACGAGCAAATTCGGAGTGCTTGCGCAAGGTTTGAGGTGCGCAGAACTGGTATTACCTGTAGCCATTCCGAGTCTATCTTTGTTTTGGCAGCTAACACTCCACTGTGATTTGCACCGCGATAGATTATGAAGTCGTCATCCGGACCGGTGGATGCCTCGACGAAGACACGGATTCGCGTCCAAGCCTTTGCGAGGAAGTCTGACTGCGAGGTGTCGGTGCCGCGATGACAGAACACGTCAATGCCGGCAATCTTGCCCTCCGCTGTGCCCTGTGTATACACACGTACACACACACACATAATTATAAACACACGTACAGGCACACACAAACACACATGTATACACATGCACACACACATATACACACATGTATACACACATGTACACACACACACACACACACACACACACACACACACACACACACACACACACACGTGGTTGACGTCTTGGAATCTGGAAAGTCTATGACATTGGACGCCCTTACATGTTCTGGACTCAGACTTGAAAGTTCTCCAATGCCCATGATGAGTGGATTGTAGCCATGGGAACGAACTGGAATGAGTCTGTACTCCCGATCCACTCGAGAAAACCGTGGAAAGGAGTTCACGCACAACGCTTTGTACAGATCTATATAGGTTCCGAGAAAATCGCGAAAACTTAGTGACGCGGATACCAGGCTGTTTACAGTACACGCTGCGGCAGACACACGTGGTGTCAAGAACGCAAGCACCGAGATGCGAAAATTCTGCCTTCACTTTGGAATGCATACTTGCCAACCCAGCCAAAGCAAATCCCTTAGTCACACACCCAGTTTCCCTTTAATTTTCTCTCATTTCCCTTATTTTGCCGGTTTTTGCCAATTTCGGCTATTTTTCTTTTTTGGGCAATTTTTGAGTATTTCGCGAATTTTTCCGCAATTTTTTTCTTTTTTTCATTTCTAACCCATTGCTCACTGGGGGACGAAAACCTGAGTTGCTTCATTGCCAGATCACCCCTACATGTGTGGTTCTGTGAAACGCAGGGCAGCACGTGCCCTTGTCACACCACAAAACAACCTTTTTTTGAACACTCATGGCTCAGTACGAAGTAGTGGTTGCGACTTCGGCGATGATTTGTAAGAAAGGGTTTGCTCCCTCTCAGTGCCGAACATGGCTGAACAAGCGGTCGCGTGCTCGTGCGTACACCAGTCACCTGGTCACCATGCCTGCAGGCTACAACTTACAGCATGTTTGAGTGAGTTTCTGTCACTCGAGTTGAACCGTTGAACCTTTGAGTTAAACCTTGGTGTGAAAGTTATCGCCTGCTGGCGTGGTGACCAGGTAACTGGTGTACGCACGAGCACGTGACCGCTTGTTCAGCCCTGTTCGATTGGGAATAAGGGCCGAACGCTGCATCGCAGCCTTTTCGGACCAAAACCAGTCGACTCGGCGTCCAAAAGACTACAACATCTGGGCCAATCTTGGTTATCCATGCTTTTATAAGAACGAAATGGCGCATTTAGTGACATTAATTTTTGCATACAAATCCCCATCTAGTAGGGCGCAGTCACCCAGTTTCGGTGGAAGTGCGCGAGTTCGATTGGGAATAAGGAGGAAGGAGCGTCTCAGCTTGCTCGGACCAATACCATTCGACTCAGCACCCCGAAGACTACAACTGGTGAAAATTTGATTTTAGGCTTAACTTCCCCTTTAACAGGCATCGAACAGATTTCAAGGTTCGCGTGAGACTCGGCTGCAGGCCGAGTTTTCCCCTCTTAGCAACGCCACCACCTCCAATGAACATCCTTAGCAACGCCACCACCTCCAATGAGCATCCTTAGCAACGCCACCACCTCCAATGAGCATCCTTAGCAACGCCACCACCTCCAATGAGCATCCTTAGCAACGCCACCACCTCCAATGAGCATCCTTAGCAATGCCACCGCCTCCAATGAGCAAGGCGCAGACGCAGCTCCTAAGGCGGTGGAGTCACCAAGATGCTTAGTAAATAGGGGAATGTTCTAATAACTTACCACAGCTGGATAGCGACATGTCTACCAGCCATATTTACCTGCAGTATGAGAGAGGAGAGAGAGAGAGAGAGGAGAGAGAGAGAGAGAGA